GATAATCTCAAGGGATCCAAGAAAATTAAAATCAAGCCTAGAGATGGATTAAATGTATTTGCAGCTATGAAGAATCAGGTTTGGGCCCTCATGAACTAGGAGAACAGGATAGGCTTAGAAAAATGATTAAAGATCAAGTCTTGCCCAACTTGTCTCTCCACAGCCTGAGCTATTCAATAAAACAGAGCTGCTGGGTATGACCACGGATTAGATAATTTCAGATAGTGGGCCAGATTCTCAGATACTGTAAATCAGCAGAGCTCCACTGAAATAAATGGTGCTACCATAATTTACATCAGCTGGAGATTTGGGCCAGATTATTTAATAGGATCCATTTGGCATGTGAATTATTATTATTTTAAACTTATTACCTCTAACGAACACCACACCACACAGTGAAAATAAGGACACTTAAAATGTAAGGTGTATGTGTTTTGAAGCATGTTTGAGCATCAAGTTTTGTGAGCATTGGCACAAGTGGTTGTGTTATAAAAACAAAATGAACTATCCCAAGTAATGTTCCCGTGGTGGTACCTCTCCTATCAAGATTTTGCCTAATTCCAGAACAAATGGTTTAAATTTGTAAACTATGGTATTTTAAAAAAAATTCTTTGTTTTGTATATGCTCTTATTTTTGGCCACAAGGGCTAAATGACATATCTCATGCCTTTAGAATTCTGTGCCCCAGATACTCAGAAGTCAGATGAATGTTCTACTCCCAATGCCATGTCAAGAGCACAGCCATCTTTTCTGAGATCAGATTTCACAAAGCACCCAACTGTCATTATGAAGTAGGGAGAGAAACTCTTTTTAAGAGGACAGCTTTCTTTAAACTAGTGAGCTGCAGAGATCCTTGAAGTCTTAAAAACAGAAGCAAAAAAAGATAAGCAAGGCCATAGCACTCCTGAAATTGAGAACTGAATGAAGCTGGTTAATAGAAAACAAGTACACATCTACCCCGATATAACGCGACCCGATATAACACGAATTCGGATATAAAGCGGTAAAGCAGTGCTCTGGGGGGGGTGGGAAGAGGGGCTGTGCACTCCGGCGGATCAAAGCAAGTTCGATATAACGCGGTTTCACCTATAACGCGGTAAGATTTTTTTGGCTCCCAAGGACAGCGTTATATCGGGGTAGAGGTGTATTTAGAATTATATGCGTTTTACCAGCCAGTCAGTGTCACCAGCTTGCAATCAGGAACGTTCACAGGGCTTGTCTACACTTGGAATGCTATAGAGGCACAGTTGCACCACTGTAGAGCTTCAGTGTAGACATTACCTATGCTGACAGGAGGGATTCTCCTGTCAGTGTAGGTACTCCATCTCCCTGAGAGGCGGTGCCTAGGTCAACAAAATAATTCTTCCATCCACCAAGTGCTGTCTATGCTGGGGTTAGGTTGGCTTAACTATGCTGCTCAGAGTGTGGATTTTTCACATCCCTGAATGATATAGTTAAGATGACTCAAATTTTCTAGTGTAGACCAGGCCTCAGCAAGATAATAAATTAATTTTCATGTGTTACATGGACAGGCAAACAAAGACGGAAGAATCTTTTTCAGATGAAGGGCTTAATTCTGATAGCTCATATGCTGCTGTGAATTAAGAGTAACTCCATTGAAACCAGAGTTATACCAGTGTAAAGGGACATCAGAATTACTGGAAGCCCAAAGTCTCTACTAGGTCTGGCTCTTGCACACAAACGAAAGGTTTCTACACGTAGGCTCAATTTCTGATTAGTTCGTCTGATCAGTGGAGACCTAAAAACATGACATCTGCAGCATGGCAGAGTGCAAAACATTTTGGACAGATAGAGCCTTATATAAACTGAGACAACTTTGACCAAAGAAAAAATAAATACAAATTCACTATTGGTATGAAATATATTGCAACATTAATTGGGCTTCAATCATCTGCCACACAGTGTCCACAGCTGTATAGTATTTGTATAAAAAGTGTGGTTCTTCATTCAAGTAAAACCTTTAAAAAATGAAATTTGGAAGTTGTATTTTTAAACAAAAAACCTTAGAAGCAGCATATCACAATCATCTCCAATACCACACAGTTTTCTTTAAATTGAGGCATTTTAAAGATGTCTGACCTCACAATACATCATAATTTCAAGTGGCTTTTTTGTTTTTAAACTGGTCCAGCTAGTTCTGTAACCTGTACAGACATGAAAAACAGGAGGAAATCACAATTATTGTTCAGCACAAATATTGAGCATGTCAGTTATAAAATGACAAAGCAAATAAAATGTCCCCAAAATTAACAAACATGGGCTACTGACCACTATGGGGCTTAGATGACTTTACAAGAGAAAAAATAACCACAGAGGTCATCAAATACAAAGTTCTTTACATGCTGCATAATTCTGACAGTGCCCTTAATATCTAGGCGGTTTATATTTTTTCCACAAGATGCCAAACCACTTACAATTTTGGTTTTGTTTAAATGCTTTTTATAAAATTAAATTATACTGTTAGACGGTATTTTACCCATGAAGAAACTACTGATGCACTCCTTAAGAACAGAAAAGTATGCATATGTAAGTCAGTACAGGAGTTTCTTCTGCAATTTTTGGAAAACAAATATATTTCAACGAAAAAAAAAATCAGCAGCAGCCTGTTTTGTCATTAAAACAAATGTATAGTTTCACAGTTGGAAAAAAAAATTAGTTACATTGTTTTACAATTCAATACATATTCTCTAAGTCACTTTTTCCTAATGGCTTTGTAATAAAATGTAAGGACAAATCCTGGGCTCCTGACTCTGATCAGACTCCTACTACAATAGGCTTCTATGGGAGTTTTGCTGGAGCAAGATGCTTAGATTCAGTCCAAGCACAAAATCAACTATTTTAGTGTTTGCACAGCTGGTATTCAGAACAAAGGGAAGAACAAACCTCTATTCAGGTTAAATGTCAACTGTAAAAAAAAAAAAACCTATTTAAAAAAAATCAAATTCCAAACAGTCTAACAAAATCTACAGCTCAGTCACCTATGAATTCAGGATCCTTTTTCTGTAGCTGAGATAGTGGGTTTAATTCTCTCTCACACACCAGTCTAAATTAGGAGTAACCTCATTAAAGTCAATGGACTCATATCAATATAAAATTGGTGTAACTGAGAGGAGAATAGGGCTTAGTATATTTAGGGTCAACTTTTTTTCTTTAAATATACTTTGTTACTGTAAACAACTGTTTCAAACCCCACACCTCCATCCATTATCTTCCCATGCTTCCATTTTGTTTAATTCTAAAGTTACCCCAAGCCCTAGTATACCTGGGTTGGCTACTCAGTTTGCTTTCTTCTAGCATGCACATAAGAACTCTTTTATAGTTTGTGCAGTGGTTGGTTGCAGTAACTCTTGAAGATATTGGGCCTGATTCTTCACAGCCCTACAACAGCTGCAAAGTGGGTGCAAACACTACCATTCTAATATGGCAGCATTTAACACAAGGTGCAAAATATGGAGAATCAGGCCCATAAAATCCAATAAGCTTGATTGGACCTTTTAATTTGGGTCCTAAAAGGCATCTCTCTACAGGGCAATATGTTGTCTCAATACAAGAGGAATCATAAGGGTAATTAATGTAGCACTTAATGTGGCACTTGAGTAACACGTATCTCTCTGTTAAATCATGAATTACCGCCCTCAGGGTTTCAGATTTGTATAATTTAACTGAATTTCTTGCTGTAACTAATCCCCAATTTTAAAAACTCTAGAACATTAGAGTGGGTTGACTGTACCCTAATAATAAATACTAGAACATAACTACCCTTATGTGTAACTACAACTGAGTGAAAACACTCACATCTGAGCAAAGGGACATGTGAATTCTGCTGGATTGCTCTAAAATGTTCAGTAGAGATAAGACTAGCCATATTTCCCCATTCAAATCTTTGCATTTTTCATAAAGTGTTTTACCACATGAGCGTTAGTACCTCTGTGTTTAATAATTAACTAGGAATCAAATGACTACAAAATTGTCTTAAAAGACCAAATAAAAGCCTTGGCTTTACAATCCCCAATTCACTGCTATCCATGTCTTCTAGAATATAACTGATTGCACATTTTTAATGTATTACAATTTGCTAAATGAATCCAACCACTCAATACTTCATAAATACAGCCTGTACAAAGTACAGTTTACTTATAAAGTTATACTCTAATACCAACTGTCAGCACATTTATATTACATCTGGTATTGCACTTCTTTTGAAGGGCACCTACACACACGTGTGTCTGTCTGTGTGCATGCATGTGAATAAACCCATCCGCCTCAAACTCCTGGACTTTTGGAATTCACTTCAAATGCTGTGAATCTAACAAGTTTAAAACACTGGAGTAAATGTCATCCTCAGAATCCTGGGTTTAGCAAGTTATTGTCAAAAATATTTAAGAGTTTATAAAAAAGTGTTTCAGAATCCCAAGTTCTGCCTGCAGCTGTGCATAAGGACAATCTAAAAACCTCTGGTAGTCTTGATACTTGCAAAAACTGGTGCCCAACAATTAGATTTTTCTCTCACATTCTCACACAGAGCATATGAAAAAGCCAGAGCACGTGTGCAAGTGCATGCATGCTATAAAATGTTTGTTTCGCAGCTCTATATGCTGTGAGCTTTCCAAAGTGTTTGCTGCAAGTAGCTGGTGATCATTTTGAAAATCCAAACTTATTTCTCATGTGTTGGTTATAGGGATTAAGCAGCTACTTTCAAAGGAGCAGCAAAGAACTGAAAGAGAGAGAAAAGGTGGACCCAGAGGCTGAGAGTTTAACCATACATTCCTTGAACAGCCAGCATATCACTTAGGCCATGTCTACACTTACTGGTAGATCAGCAATGCTGCAATTGATGCAGCGGTGCTGATTTAGTGGGTCTGGTGAAGACCCACTAAGTCGCTGGCAGAGTGCTCTCCCATTGATTCCTGTATTCCAGCTCCCTGAAAAGAGCAAGGTACAGCAAGAGGGCATCTCCCATCAACACAACGTGGTGTAGACACCGCGATAAGTCGACCTAATCTATGTCAACTTCAGTTATGTTATTCACGTAACTAAAGTAGCATAATGTAGGTCAACTTACCATGGTATTACAGACCAGCCCAAAGTAATGTTAAGAATATTGCCTGAGATTCTTTGAAGAGACTTGGGCCAAGTTCACCTCTGGCACAAGTGGGTATATCTCCCACTGATTTCAGTGGTACTTGTATACTTTTTCACCAGGGTTGAATTTGGTCCTATGAGTACAGCTGAACACCATCAGTCACATGATGGACAATGAGAGTCTTGGACAGAGAGAACTGGGTTGCAAAATTAAATGAGTGAATATGGGACAAATCATGTAAATAAAGAATATATATTAATAGTTCCTATTATATAAATAGCCTTTATAAAAATAATCTTTCAATAATTTTAATAACTAACCCTTCGCTAGGCTCTGGAAAACGTGTGAAAAAAATCTATTGTGTTCGAGTTAGATTAAATCAAACCCCAAAGTGAACACTACAATGTTTTGTTGCACTAAACCCTATCCTGCCCATTCAATTTCTAAGCCAGTCATTTGGGATGGTGGGGACCAGAGTTTCTTTGTGAAGCTATAAATTTCATCCCTACAAATACTGTCCAGGAGAATACCATACATAGTAGGCTTATTTCCTACTTCTTTCAAAATGGCGCAGATGACAGATCCAGAAGTCAAAGGTTCAATTAAAACCAAAATATATTATGCCTCTGACTAAATTTAAAAGGAACTGTCCCCTCACTTTAATCTTTTAAATCTTTGAGCTGAAAACGCCTTCAGTTTCAACACTATACCTACTATTTAAATAACCATGAAAACACTAAGTTTTCTTCCTTTTCAACTCTTTGAAACCCTACATAATCTTTAAAGTGATACTAGACCTACTGTAATATGTGATGGACTATTTTTGATGATAGCATGATTTTCCTTTTCCCAAATTATCCAAATTAAAAGGAAACAAAAAAAACCCTGCCAATCTTTCAAGTTTACCTTTTTGAGTTTAAGGCATAATATGAAATTGCACATCACATGAAAGCTTAATTTTGAAGTGTACAGTTTTAGTGCTATCCGAACCCCCCTTTTTTTTTTGACCGTCTGGATATTTCATCTCTGCTCTTGCTGTAAATTCTAATGCCGTCTGTGGTTTGTGCAATTCCAATGCAACCAGTCTTTGCTGCTGACAAATATTAACAGTGCAGTGTAGCACCCATAAGTGGGCTATCAGTTTTTTAAATTCTTCACTTTCATTTCAGTTCAAGGCATGCTGCTTTATTGTGTGGAAGATCCAGTCCATTTTCGTTGTCCAGCCACCATGATGAGCATCATTCATCTGCTTCATGAAATATTCTAGAGCTTCTTGTTCACTTTTGTCCAGTGCAAGTGTCTTTCGAATGTATGCAATATCATCAAAAGACTGTAATTCTGGCATTCCTGAGCCAAGCATCATGGAGAAGAGATTTATGAAGAGATTGGCATGCTGCCGAATTGCTAAGTAAGCCTTATAACACATCTCCTGAAATCTTGAAAAGAAAGACAAGAGTTGGTTGGTTCAAGATAGGTGCTATTGGAACCACAACAACTTTCATTTTTTGGAGGCAACAGAAGATGCGAGGCAGGTGGGCCACTATAAAAGTTTGAGAGGCCAACTCTGTGGGGTGTTTTTATTTTTATTATTTTTTTTTTAATATAATGTAAATGCCACAATGGCACTGGAAAAATTTCTTCATTGTATCATCTTCCTAAATGTCCTCCACTTAGGGAAAGTTTATGCTACTGGTTAAGTCGATCTAACTTACATTGCTCAGGGGTGTGAAAAAGCACCTCCGCCCCAGCAACGCAAGTTTTGCACTGTCCACACCAGTGCTATTCCGACGGGAGAGTCGCTGTAGTGGTGCATCTATATCAGTGCAGCTGCACCGATATAGCGCTGTAGTGTAGATTTGCCCTTAGATTAGGTTAATTTTCAAGTGATTTTTCAGTGACTAATTGATACCAGGTAAATTGGAGACAGGCCTTCGCTTCTAAAGCCCTATTTTCAGTTCATAAGCTTTCTCAAAAGGTGAATTATTTAGGGATGTTTAAGGAAATCCACTGAGCCATTTGAGTTACGCAAGTCTAAGAAGAATACATATTTTAAGCATTAAAACAAAATTGCTCATCACCAGTAAAATTTACCAAGGACAGTTGTAGTTCTAACACTTGAGTAAAATTACATTTTTAAATCAAGTATCCTTAAGTGGTTATGTATGTGTCTGATCCAGCATAGTCAGTGGGAACTGTGGATCAGCACCTTGAAGGATCAGGCCCACAAGACTTGAGTGCTGAGAACCATACAAAGATCTATCCTGGGTGGACAATTTGAAAGATTTGTGTCCCACAACTGAAATTAATGTAAAATCGGATGCCTGCATTATGTTTCTTTGTTACATTAAACTCTACATGTACCTATACAGGGTCTTATAGCACATAGCTTGATTCAGGTAATAGGCCAAAGTATTAAAGATCAGTGGTTCTTTATTATATCTAAAAGATATTTTGCTACAAGATATACCCAAATATATACAAAAACTGATTAAATATTTTCATTTATGTGAAATAACTGCTCAATTAAAAAAATGGCTTACCTTTCAAATTCCCTTGTTTTGGTACATTCTTGGGCTCCTTTACTAATCACTATTAAGAAATCTTGCGTTAAGACAAATGGCACACGCTCTCGTTTGTAACCAAATTTTTTCTTCTTGTGATCCAGGAAGTGTCCAAAATCAATGTGAAACAGCTTTAAAGAGGGAGAAAATGGTTACACATTTTAAAATTATTTTGCTTATTTAAACAGCTTTCATAGTAACATCAGTTCATCTAGTTTTTGCATGGATTTTGTGATCCAAACAGCAATATGCCATACAATTAGTGTCTATACATCAGACAAATGGAAGATGACATATTACATAAGCGAATATTTTTAGAGAGAGGTTTTTGCAAAATAGTATCTTACTTGTCCGTCATCTTTCACCATGATGTTACTATTGTGACGATCACCAATTCCCAATATGAAGGTAGCAACACAATAGCCAGCGCAAGAGCGTGTAAACAAATCAATAGCTGCATCATACCTGTTGAAAACAAACACTGGAGGCATTATTCTTCTGAAGTTCTAACACCACAGAAGTGCAGAAACAACATGCATGTAATGAAGGATATGTGTATACTAGCTTAACGAAGCCATGCAAATCAAGAGTACTTGGATTTTATCATTGAACTGAATCAAAAAGCTAGGTAGAGATTCAGCATTCTTGGAATACAATAATAACTGTAGTAAGATCAAAAAATAATAAACTTTAGAGCAACTTTTTTAAAGACATAGAAAAGAAATTTTCACTGATAAGCTACCAATGCAAATTCAGATTTAAACCATATATTTGTGCAAGTGTATATCTTAAATGGACAATTTTTTGCCAACTGCTGCATTGTCACAAAAATATCACACAATGCCTTAACCTCAAGATGAGAACTATGGACAGCAAAAATACCAGGTGTAGAGTATCGCTGTATGACTTAGTTTCCCATTCAAGAAGGGGGGCATGAAATATTTCTGTTTTGAGGCCTCCATCAAAAAAACAAAAACAAACAGGTAAATTAAAAAGGAGAATAAGTAAATGAAAAGTAAAAACCTCACATTTCTCCTTTGTTTTTGTCCTTGAGCCACTGATGTAAGGTGTGGCTGTTGAACTGCAATGCGCCCTTTAGACCACCTTTACACTGAATCTGCATAATTGTGTGAGAGCTTCTCACCACCTCAATAAGTCCCACACAATCACCAATAGACAAACAGCCATAAGGCAACATCCTGGAAGAAAAAAATTATTTTTTTTTTATAAAGAGCAAGTTTTCAGACAGAAAGCATTTTAAACAATACAAAATATACATGTTCTGGTTAGTAACCTTAGTCAGATCAATACCATCTATTATTGGATTTACTTCATAGGGTTCTGCTGAAAATACATTTGAAAACCCTACAGCTGTATCATCAGAAGTGTTGAGAAAAACGTGTGCAAGAATGTTAGAGTTCAATAATGTGCCTGACTCTGTGGCCACTGCATCTGGCAATTTATTTCCTAGTTTTATACTGGGAAAAGATTTAAGCTGAAAATTACTAATGGTTTCCCCAATACCTCTGAAAAAGTTCTTAACTGTCAGGGTGGTTAAACACTGGAATAAATTGCCTAGGGAGGTTGTGGAATCTCCATCTCTGGAGATATTTAAGAGTAGGTTAGATAAATGTCTATCAGGGATGGTCTAGACAGTATTTGGTCCTGCCATGCGGGCAGGGGACTGGACTCGATGACCTCTCGAGGTCCCTTCCAGTCCTAGAATCTATGAATCTATGAATATTATCAATAATCATTAATGGAACTTTCAGAATGTAGGGGGATTTATCAAGACAGATTTCTGTACAGATCTTCAGACTTTAATATTAAGGGCAGGACAGTCTTCAGACTTTCAGAAAGGGAACATTCAGCACAACCTGAGTGCTACCAGAAACGCATAATACAGAATAATGCTTAAGTAAAGCCTACTTTAAGAAACCCCCCACATGCAATTTTAAAAATACATTTCCAGAGCTATTACCTGACAATATTATAAAATTGTAATGGAAACCCATGAACTGCAGCAATGCTGGTCTTAAGCTAGTCTTACTGATGGCCTTTCCTTGGAACTGGACTGAGGCCACCAAAATACATTTTCACATAAGGCACTGATCAGTTTATAGACCCCAATATTTTGGATATCTTGAAGCTATAAAAGTTACAGTATAACATACAGAAACATGCTTACAAATCATTTTAAGTATTACAATTGTTTTTCATGGAAAAGGAAGGGAACCAGCTGTAGTGAATAAGTTCAACAGAAAACATTAAGAATGGCACTTGAGAATACTCTCTGTTGCTTACCGTAGATCAAGACCCTGATTTTGCCAGATGTTTTCCATAATTCGAATGATCTGAAGTGTCAGCATGTCCTGGCGTAAATCTGAAATATTCAAGTACATACAGATGCTGTGGATTTTATAAGATCAGCACGAAAGCTTTTTGTAACATGCCATTTTATTTAGTTTTTTCCAATATATTTTAGACCAGGACAGTAGGTTGTGTATTTCACTAAAGGTATGTTCTCTAAAATGTATTATCATTATGCAGAAGTCAAAAGCAACCTTTAAGGTTTAAGAATTAATGTAAAAGAGTTGGGGTAGTTTCAAGACCAATTATTAAGATACAACTTTAAAATCTGCCTGGATTAATGAGATAGATATCAAACATGGCTTTACAAATTAGAGCAAATATTCTAAAGCATTTTAAAATTTGAATAGTATTACAGTTAAATAATACTGTGGTAAGCGTACGAAAATATTAGACAAATCAGTTTCAATACTACAGAAAGTACAGTGCGTACACGAGTCATGTTCTAAGAGGAAAAAACAGTTCAAAATATTGTTATAAAAGAGAGAATGAGTGTTTGAAAAAGAATGGCCTAGGAGCACAGCTACAAAAATACTGTGCATGTGTTTGTCCATTTTTTACATGCCTATTTCTCTAGAAACTCTAATTAGCAAAGCCAAACAAGGTATGTTTATTTCTTTAACATGTATTCTACAAATTATTTAGAAAAAAATTTAAAGTCAACAGGCAAGGTATGAGAAGAGACGTTTATGTATAAACACACAACTCTCTGGAATATGTTAACCAGGATATGTATGTATTTTGTGCCCTTACCATCTCCATTTTTAAAGATGATCTCATTGTTTTGAAACAACAGTTCAGACATAATATCTGGGTTTTCCCAGTTCAACCACAGTGGCCTTTTTGCAGAGGACATAATCCTGCACTCCTCAAGCCTACAAAAAGATAAGATTTCTTCTAAATAAGTATATTGTTGACATTAGTGAATGGTGTTTTTGTAATATTCCTGCTCTCTTCACCTTTCCTTCCCCCAACACTTATGGCTGATATGACACTGGATGGGCCGAGATGGACAGTTAACCAATTTTCATTCATGAGTCTTAAACTTAAAGCAAGAAGTGCACTAACTTGTGCTGCCTGAGAAGGGAACTGGCTGTATATAATCTTCAGGCAGCATCACTTCTGGCCAAATAATAAGGTTCCTCACAAAAATTGCAAGCATTATTCTGGTCATTTAAAGTTGTTTTATTGATGCTACTGGCTTAAGGTTAAAAAAAAGTATCCACTATACAATTTTCTTAGTACATTTGCAAATTTTAAAATCTTTTCCAAGATGCACTAATGTCAGAAAAATGGTCTAATTAAATATTTTGATAAATTCCAAAAGCGAAAAACATACCTGAGATTTCCCAGCTGATGAGCAGGGTTAAGAGGAGAAATAAAGCCTTGTAAAGCATCCATGAAATCTGGCCGCCTCATTTGTTCAACAAGAAACTTCATCTGTACCTGAACGGTAATCACATTTAATTTGAGAGCTTTTTGATTATATGAGAAAGATGTACATACATGCTGGGTTTTAATTTTGATTTAAGCTGTAATTTTGTGTAATGCAAGTGTTAAAAAAAAAAAAAAACAACCAACAATCCCACATTAGCCACATATCACCAGAACTGAAGCATTATTTTTATATTACCTGAGAATAGTTGTATGACATAACTTCTATTTAAATGACCTACTCAACTGGCCAACAACAGTGGGTACAGTAAAAATATCTCCAACACCTGGTAAGGAATTTTATTATTTACTGGAGTAAACAATACCACACTGTTTTAACTAACCAAATAAAGACCCAATTCTTATTAAACTACTTTTAAACATACTTAATTCTTGTATTCTGATAACAGTAATACCTTTTGTGTCTCATCCTTCTTCTCCTGCTTGAGAATATCTGTGAGGTTTATCAGTTTCTCCATAGCCTCCACCTGCCTGCTCAAATGTTTTAGGTACATCCCACATGCTCGACAGTAGGACTCCAAAAGTAAACCAAATCTCTGGCTTACATTTTTATTGTGCATTTCAGACCTATCAAAAGAGAACATTTTCAGGTAAAAGAAGAACATTTTCAGGTAATACTGTTTAGGGCTGATGCTGTCCCTGTGCCCTTTCTCTCAGTGGGCACCATTTCCAAGAGACAGGCCTACAGTTGCACTTCTCTCAGAATGGAATTCCACAATTCAGCCCACTTTTAGACTGAACAGACCAGGCAACAGCGCCTCCTGCTTACCCCCCATATTACCTCAGCAGGTCCAACTGGTTTTGGTCTCTGCTATATACCCCACTCTGTGAGCTGTGATCCCCTGCTAAACACAGGGACAGAACAGCTTGTTCAAAACAGTATGATTTATCCATCCACAGGAACATAACAAGCAGAGAGAAAATGTTTAAAAATAACAAAAGCATACAGTCTTGCCCAAACATAGCATTTACCTCATGCAACCAAGTAGGCCTAATTTAGCCTTGACACCCTTCCTGTTTTCCCAGGGACCGAGTTACTGCCTGCTTCTCTGCAGACCCTCTATCTCTATGACTCAGAAGCTCAGCTTTTCAACTACATTCAATCTCTCTGTTTGAAAGTTCCTGCATTGAAACTCTAAGGGTGTCAGGTGGAGCTCTTGCACTCCCCTGCAATGGGGCCTGTCAACCCAATTCCACATTAGTGGAGGTAAACCTCCAAGGAATTATCAGCTCCACTGTCCATTTGAGAACTGTCCATCGGGATTGTCTACACTCAACCATTAACTTTTGGTTCCTAGAGAAGTAAGTTAACTATGGCTGATTTAACGTAGTTACTCTTTTGCCAGCAGCACAGTAACTTCAAAACCCACATGGTGTGTATATATATAAAAAATATTCATAAATACATATAATTCCTACATTCTTCACAACAGGCAATTTTAAAAGGCTCTTGCATATAAAAGTAATTTGAAATATCTTAAATTTAGAAAGCAAGCAACAGATATGAGCTAATTATCTACAGTGGCTATGTTCATGTGGAATTTGCTGATAATCACACTGTACATATCCAGTTACTAACTCCTCAGCAATCTTAATTTAAATTTCAACATCATGCACCACCTATTTTTTAAACTTTTCATTACACTTTCAGCAGTGATTTAAGTAGAAAGACAAAGTGGAACAATGATCATGACATAGCATCATAGGACTGGAAGGGACCTTGAGAGTCATCTAGTCCAGTCCCCTGCACTCATGGCAGGACTAAGTAGGATATAGTGCAACAACAAAGGTCTAACCATAGGAACAGAATAAGTATAGAGTAAAGCCAGAGTGACTGCTTCAGTAAACATTAACTGGAGGACAGGAAAGATTGAAAGAAACAGAAGAGAGGCTAAAGGAGGAAGACCAATGAAGAATGGTGCTCTTAAAGGGGAGCATACTTTCTTAGTGATACTAAATGCAATAACGAGGTCCTGAATAAATAAATAATAATTAAAAGTTATTGATCTTTGTATAAACCTTCCACTGAGAACAGTAGGAGATCTATTATGGATTGAGGGAGTATGGGGCCCTAAATTTATACCCTCAGCCCATCAGAGAAGGAATTCAGTTCTCTTCAGTGACTGAGCATAACATTCCTACCTTAGATACAATGCTGGCTACTACCAGGAAAAAAAAAAGAAAAAAAAAAAAAAAAAAAAAAAAGGTAGTTTATTATCTTCTGTATCTTTCCAAACTTCTAGACACCTAAACTGACTACAGATTTGAGAACTAATTTTGTTTGGGGAGTCATGCTGCTTATATAGGAAACAAAAAACAAAATACAAAACAAAAAACTTATGGTAGGTAATAGCTTAAGAAAAAAGGACATTTTAGTCTGACATTTCATACCTCTAACTACTGTGGTATAGCTTGGTGGAAACCCACCATTACCCAAAAAACTTCCCAAACAAACTTACTTTAAGTGCCAAAAGAAAAAGTGTCCTATCCTTTGATTGGTCAGTGCCTTCTTGAGTAAAAATCTCACCAGCAGATTATCCAAATATTGCTCATATTTCAGAACCTATTTATGGGTAAGAAGAAATGAGAATTTGGAACTGTAGCTTTCATTTTGCAAATATTCCCATGGATAATACACATCCAGACAACATACTATATAAAAAAAAAGAGCCACATTCTGGAAAAGGATTTTATAACTCAAGAATGTCTGGCCCTCATATTTTAGAGTTCGTAAATGTTAGCAGGTATTGTTCCAACCCTGCCTAACAGTACACACACTGGATAAGGTCCAAACTTACCACCTATCTGACATTTCCTTTATTGTTAACTTAACTGACACCAACCAAATTTTAGCCTCATTTTGCTAAGGTTTCTAGAATTGCCTCTTCAGGGAACCTGCCCAGTCCATGCTACAGAAAGACAAATGGTCTGGCTGCCAATGTGAATCAGCAGTACAGCTCTGTATCTCCTTGCAGGGTCCTAACATCTCATATCCTATTTACAGAAAATAAACCAGGTTTGATCTTTCAAGGTTGCAACTACTGTATTTATTATCTACTCCCCAGAATCACTAGGGAATTACTGTTTGTCAAGATTTCTTCTCTTTCTTCTTGCTACATCAGATTTAAGAAGCAACAATTAAAAACAATTGTCAACAACAAATATACATAACCTCTAATTTAACAGAACAAGCTAGGGTACCTGTACTAGTTGGATTAAGTACTGAGACAGTTTGTCATCTGTCAAATACTTCTCCAGACACCGAACTGCGAATGCTCGCACCATTGGGTCAGGGTAATTACAGTCCAAAAGCTCCATTGCCTGTTCTGGCTTGATTGGAGGCCAGTCTTTTACCAAGCAGTACATCTGTGTGGAACAAAAACAGCAACCCAACATAATCCAGACATTTTAAGCAGTTGCATGGACAAAACAATAATTGTGAAATAGACCCATGTAAGACCAGCAATCATTTTCCTGTTTAAAAATTGAATTTACTCTTTGATCTCACAAATGACTAACTTGATGTAAACTACAACCTGCTAAACATTTTATCTACTATTAAAAAGGCTATAGTAAGAATTACAACCTCAGTCATTCCATAGTCAGTAACGTCAACCCAGTGTAACTCACTGGTCAGCAATACATCAGGGATTGAACCAGGGACCTCTAGAGGGAAAAGCATATGTCTCTTGAACTAAATAGCCTGGCTCTGGAGCCATTAGCTGTAACAGACCCATATCATCTGTGGATCAGGCACAGTGGGGGACAGAACACACACCAACCAATGGGTTGCACGAGCAGAACATATTCTAACTAACGATTGCTCACTTTCATGCAAGTTGAAGAAAATCATTTTTAAAAATCAAAATACTGTGTTTAAAATGATGTCTTTTAGCAGAGTTTCTTGAATGCAGTATATTACCTGGGCTACTTCATCTCTAGAGTTCCATTTAACAGACAAAAGTAGTTTTGGTAGAATTTCTGGGGTATTTACACAATAGTGTCTGTAAAAGAGAAAAAATGTAACTTGTATATACAAACTAGAGGTAAACAGTAAGTAGATTTACTTTGATCACAGCAGACTATGGTCCTCAATCCTGAAATATTATCTACCTTTATGCCTGTAGAGCCCCACTGAAGTCAGCAGGGCTCTGCATGGCACAGGTATCTGTCCAGGCACACAAGTTTGCAGAACTGAGGCACATAATGATTACTTCTATCACCAGCTTTCCTCCATAGACGTATAAAACTGTAATATATGCTTTCCTAAAATGCTAACCATAGCAAGGAACATAGTGAACAACAGGTCAGAATTCAAGTCAATTATGTGTTTTAGAGAATTCCAGAACCCCATCTTTATGATTCTTTATACCTGTGGCTCCAAAGGAAGTCCTTCTCTTGCTCAGTAATTTCAGACAGAGGGTCTCGAGTACAAATTGCACGGAGTTGCTCTTTGTCACTTTCTCTTAATTCATTATCTCTAGCTAGCCTGTTACTCTGTAAAAGAAAATGGTACATTATCCTTCCACACACTTTTTTCTGCTCTCATGCAAGCTACATATCTGATGTAAACATAGTATTTTTATATAGTGTAGCATCATTTATACTCTATTATTAAAAATCTGTTGGTTGTTTCTTTCAATCTGAGTGCAGCTCTGTATTAGATTTAAAAAAAGATGAAATAGTGCTAGCTTTATAGTGTTTTGATTTTTGTAACTGCTTACCACCATGGGCAGGGATATCATTCCAAAGAAATTAGTTGGATGAAGGGACAATAGCAGTTGGCACACTACCATCAAATGAGATTCTAGCAAGAGCCCGATAAACCACAAGATGAAAGCGACAACCCCATCCCCATTTATCAAACTATTCAGGAAATCTGCTGCAAGGGGGCAGAGAAAAAGCCAAGACTGGAGAAGCAGAATGTGGGGAAAAAAAATAGGTGAATATGAGGTCTGAGAGGAAATGTGGAACATGTCCAGGAAGCTTTGAAAATCAGAGGGAGAGTTTCAAATTGATTTCCAATGTGACTATAAAGCCAGTGTTCGTTAATGCTGAACAGATTCCCCAAAGGGATAGGGACACTCAAAGTAACCCCCTGGGGAGCTGGGTGGATCCTGCGATTGAGTTCATTTAGTGTCATTTCATGTGCTCAGAGCCTGTTACATAGATGCATTTTATAGATACAAAATAAAATAAATCAGCTTGGTCACTCATGACGCCTTGGCCCCTTCTTTCTTTCTCCCATAATTTAGTAACTTTTAGTCTATGGTTGGTGTAAAACTTCTTCGTTTTACATCATGATGCCAGGGTAATGGAGCTTCTGATATTTTGTGTGTGGAATGGTTTGCAGGGTAAAAAGACAGAATTCCTAAGGGGTTTCAGTGATATAGAGCTTTGGTATGCTCTTTAGCATAAGCCACAATTCACAGAGCATAGTGAAATTTTTCATCTTAAACTTGTTTCCACCAAAAACCACAGATTTTTCTGTGTTAAATTTGCTGAATTGTTTCAGATGAAAAAACATCCAAAAAATTAAAAATAATATGTTTTATGATGACATTTTAAAAATAAAAGATTTTGGATTGATTGATTTTTGGATTCAAAACAACTGATTAAATAAACTTCAATTAAGTTTAACAGAAAAAAAAGCCACATTTTTTTTTTATTTTGAACTTTTTTAGACAAAGTTTTGGGTCAACTCAGAACAAAATTTCTCCCAATTTTTTTGGTACAACCAGCAAACTGAAAAATCAGTTATTCATCCAGCTCTATTTCTAAGTGCTATCATTTTTGCCATTTATTTGTCAGAAGCTGAAATGCTCCAGAAACATCTAATTTTATTCAGCTGCACACATCTTTAAATATGAATTCACATTTTGAGATCTTCAGGATGCATAGTTATAAAATATGGCAAAAAGAAAAGTGAAGAGGTAAGCCTCTTTGCCATGTGAAACATGCATTAAAAACTAAATTTTGTCTGAAGTTCCCATTTTGTTGACAGAAACCTTCTTTCAGATCTAGATTACTGGGTAACATCATTGTGGAACTACCTAGAACAGGGGTTGGCAACCTTTCAGAAGTGGTGTGCCGAGTCTTCATTTATTCACTCTAATTTAAGGTTTCGCGTGCCAGTAATACATTTTAACGTTTTTAGAAGGTCTCTTTCTATAAGTCTATAATATATAACTAAACTATTGTTGTATGTAAAGTAAATAAGGTTTTTAAAGTATTTAAGAAGCTTCATTTAAAATTAAATTAAAATGCAGAGCCCCATGGACCGGCCAGGACCCGGACAGTGTGAGTGCCACTGAAAATCAGCTCGTGTGCCGCCTTAGGCACGCGTGCCATAGGTTGCCTACCTCTGACCTAGAACATCTTGGTAAGAAGATTTTTCTGTAAGTGTGGCTGGTTCTCATTTGAGAAACAAGGCAAACTAGAATCACCCACAGACAGACAGACATATTGTTTTGTCTTTTAAAGAGTATTATGACTTAAAATGTACATAAAATACTTTAATGCAGAAGGAGCTGACAGATTATAGCCTACTGCTACCTACTGCTTTTAAAAAAAGGTACATAATAGATACTTAAGACTGGAAGTACTATGCTTTGCCTTCAGTTTTAGTTATGTCTTTTTTTGTTTACTGTATTATTATAGTTACTCACACAAAGCATGGATCACGGTGTTATATGGGGACATTTAAAAATGGCTTAAATTAAGTTATGAGCATTTCCAAAGGGAATGAACATACCACACTCCCTTGCAGCACATATCTACTGAAAATCCCTCCTTGACTTGTTCCCCACCCATCTCTCACCTGGTTAGTAATCCAGCCACTCTAGCCTGTTCACTTTAATGTGTGCAGCTTCTGAAGCAAGTGAATTGGAGTCAGATATGGGAAGAGGCAAATTCTTTATACCTACCACCAGTGGAAATGTTTTTTTTAAAAGAACATGTAATAGATAAAGCACAATAATGTCTATTCCAAATGTCTCAGAGACATCAAAAACAGGGATATATACTTGATGTTATGGCAAGAGATGCTATGAAAAAAAAAAAGCCTAAAACAAGAGAGAATTATGGGAGGTAAATTAGTGGATAAAGGATTCATGCCAGGAGTGGGGAAGCTATATATTCCATCCTATAAAAAAAGTCACACATTTATGTACTATTTATAAAATAGGATTAAAAACTTTTTAAAAGCATGTATTTCTCTAGCTTCCGGTAGAGGCTCGTCGCAAGTAGAACAAAGCCAAATTAAAAATAAGGAAACAGAACTAGCATACGTGCTACTGTCTAGAGTTAAAGCATCATCAGACAAACCACACTTCTGACATTCCTTTTATAGCTGCAGCTGTTATAAACAATGAAGATTATTGTAACTTAAAGTGATTACAGAAAAATGATTTTTCAGTTTGTTTGTTTAGTTCACTCTTTTTCCTATACAAGTTATTCAGTTTTCCCTTCTTGTTTGTGTGGGTATTTGTTGAAAAGCAACCAGGCAGGGAAAAAAGAAAATGGGAAAAAGGAAATTTGTTTACATACTAGACACATTGGTAAGTGGATTTAGGGGATCAAGGGTAGCACTGGAAACTTATTTTTCAAAACTGACTAGATTTCAAGTTGACAGTTCCCCCTGTAAATTCAATGTAGCATAAAAGTTTCAGAAAGTGACTAGGAATCAGGAAGCTCAGTTCAAATCTAGATTTGCTTTTAATTCACTATAAATTTGGAAAAATCCCTACATTTTCTTGACCTTCACTTAATACCACTGTAAAATAAGATTATTTAAAACTATTTGCACATGTTGGATCATAAGACAAAATGTACCTGTATATTAGGTCAGAAAGTTCATGGTTTAGGTCAAGCCCAGTGGGAAAATGCATTTATCCTGTTGAGGTCAACATCAAAAACTTGAAATTCTATGAAGTGTGGGACAGTAAAGTAGATAATATATACATTTAATATTTGAGAAAGCTTCTGAAATATTTGAAGTAACAATGGATCTATAAATGCTCCATTATAACAGTATCTATGCCTGATCTTAAATATTTCTACTAATTTATTGGTTAAAAGTGCAATGGGGGGGTGGGTGAAAACATTTCAAAATTAAACAAAAAACCATGTCTATTGTTTTGTATGTTAACAGAAGATGTTTTATAGACCACCACTATGGTAACTTGGCCTGGTGATTTCCACAGCATTTGGGACTAACTTGTTTAAAATTTTTGACAAGTATATTGGTAATTGGTAAACTCTAAGCCTGTGTCGGATCTTGACTGTGTAGCATGCATTGTCTTGTCCAAAGTTTTCTTTTCAAGTTACTTGGCATTATTACTATTATACAGCCATAAACACACGCGGTACTTTACAGAATACACAGCTCCTGCCCCAAAGAGCTTACAAGATAAAATCAGGTAAGACAACATAAGGAACAACAGGTATGATGTGGAGATATCAATAGTGATGAGACAAATTTAGGAAGATTTTATGAAAAATGTTTTAAAGAGGGATTAGAAGGAGCAGCAAGAGGATACTTGGCAGACACAAAGTAGGAGATTATTAGAGTTTTAGTACCGGTAGGTAGCAGTGTGAAAAAAAAAACACAGAGAAAAAGGAGAGAGTATGAGTAGCACGATGCATTACTGGATTGACATGTAAATGGATGCTAATACACCTTTCTCCACCTCTAACTGCTATGATCTCGCTCCTGAGTACTATAGGGATGAGCAAGCTGGTTCAACAGGAAATAAACACCCACCTAACCTTGAAAAACAAACCCTGAATATTTCTGAGTTCAAAAAGTATCACATCATCTTTGTTGTGCCTTTAAAAACCTATCAGAATTTATACCTCTCTGCATTTTCTAGTTTCAGCTAAGGATAGAAGAAACAGTACTGAGGTGGCTATATTTGAGCCTTAAAGAAACCAGAAAGCCTCTAGAAAACTAAAAAGCATCTGTTCTTTCAAGATTTACACTCAATCAAGAAGATACAAATATGCATCAAATATGCACCCCTCAACTTCTAGATTCTCACATGACCATCCTGCAACTCTGCCTCATTCCTACTTTAAAGCAGCTTCTGCAGCTGAGGCGAATTGGACTAGTAATTAATGAGCAGATTTGTGTCTATCTGTGATTATCAGAGGACCCCCGCTACTAATCTGTCCTATAGGTGGGAGAAAACTACAGCATTCTGAAAGCATAACTCTCACCTAGTGCATACTATTACTTTCACGTTGAAGAAAGAGAAATGGGGACATTCAGGAGAGTGCTTTGTAATTTTTAAAGGTACCACAGTCATGGGCTCAAAGTAAGAACCTAGACAGGTTTCAGCTACTGTAGAGATGAACATTTTAGAAACCACTAATTTACAAACCCCTCACTATAGTCACTATTGATCTCTCCCTTGCCAATCCTAAGGACCATACGCATTCTCTTCAGTCTTTGCTACCTTTAATACTGTTGACCACCCAGCTCTCAAAACTATCTTCATCTTATGTGGACTTACAGCCCTTTCTTTCCTGGTTCTTCACCTGCATGGAATCTCCTTCAGTGTTGCCTTTGATTTATCATTGCACTTCTTCAACTTTGTTGCAGTTTTTCAGAGTCTGCCTCATCCCCCCTTCTCTTTTCCTTGTACAACCTCATACATAAGGCTGATCTCTTATCACCTCTATGCCAGTGACTCTCAGATCTACCCCTCATCTATCAAGGATTGCATCTCTTCCTATTTCTTCAGTATCTTCTTCTGCTTCCTCAATCCTAGGCTGTCAAACATGTAAACTTTGCCTTTTCTTCTTCACCCTTTCTTCCCCAGTTTCAGAAAACTCCACTATCCCTTGGGTACTCAAGCTCACAACTTTGGTATTCTCTTAAAGTTGTCCCTTTCCTTCTCCTTTCACATGCAGGCCCTTATCAAACCTTGTCACATCTCTTCCTATGTTACCACCAAAATCTGTCTCTTGTTCCCACTGCTATGCCTTTTGGTTCATAAAGTAACATCAATCAGGTTACCCTAATTTTTTGTCAACTTTGTCCCTCTTTCCCTTTCCCGTTCCTCTTTCTGATCACAATTTAAAAACAGGAAGCTCTTCAAGGAAGGGACTGTGTCTTTATTTCTTTGTATACTTATTTCTTTCATGTAAGTTACAACAGTGATGATAGCCAATATTGTATAGTTAGGCAACTAAATTCACATTTAGGCACCTAATAAAATGAACTGACTCAGAGGTACTGAGCACCCACTGCTCCAATCAGATTCAAACTTCTCAACCTCTCTGAAAATCAGGCCACTCAGGGTTAGATCATGCCTAGTACTAACATGGCCGCACAAAGGAATTGGGGTGGGGTGGGAGGCTTCCTACCCACTCTGTGAGGCCACAATAGGGCTACAAGCCAAGCTGGGATGCATATATGCTGTCTCACATACAGAGGTATCATAACTTACTCCTCCTCCAGAGAAGAAAAGGAGGCATTGTGGCTCTTAGAGGAAATATTGAGGCCTGGTCTACACTGGGGGGAGGGGAATCGATCTAAGTTACGCAACTTCAGCTATGTATAACGTAGCTGAAGTCGACGTACTTAGATCGACTTACCGTGGTGTCTTCACTACGGTGAGTCGACTGCTGCTGCTCCCCCGTCGACTCTGCCTGTGCCTCTCGCTGAGCTGGAGTACAGGAGTCGACGGGAGAGCGCTCGGGGATCGATTTATCGCGTCTAGACTAGACGCAATAAATCGATCCCCGCTGGATCGATCGCTGCCCGCCGATCCGGCCGGTAGTGAAGACATACCCTCAGCTTCAGTGACACCTGATCAGAGTGGAATGATTTAAATCAAGGCAATTTAAATAATCAATTTTAATCAACTTTTCCATTTGTACTTCAACTATTTTCTAAAGAAAGGTGCATTCTCATTGGTTGATATAACCATTAAAACATGCTGATTTACAACTAAATAGAACTAGATTTGGTAAATTATAACAGTTTTATTTAAGCACTTATATAGCTTAATATTTTCAGATTCTGATTAATTGTATATGTTTAGCATATTAGAAAATGGTGAATGATATATTGCCTATTTACTAGCTAATTAATTTTTTGCTCATGATTTGTGTCAAGCTGCATTAGGATAGCAACTAGAATTTAATTAAACAAACAGCATATACAATTTATTTTTATTAAACAAAATAAGCTCTTAATACAGTACATGACCTACTGTGCCATATTCCTAAAGCTTGATCTCAAAAGTTAGATTTTTTTCCCCATTTTCATTCTTCATAAAAAAGCAGCTTTTTTAGTAGAGGCTCATGGATTCAGCATATTTATTTCTCATTTAAAATGTTTTAAGAGATTATAAGAAGTTTAGGATTTAACATATTTTGTATTACATTCAGATTTCATTTTAAAGAGTTATTTTTAAAAAACAATTTAAATAAAATAAAAAAATACCTGATTTAAATAAAAATAATGTTTTAGTTTTTCCAAAAGAAATCACTGATTTCTATTCACCCTGAACCTGATGCTCCCACGGGCACTGTGCCTATATTACCCTTTCCCCTCTTATTCAGGACTGCGTCTTAAAGACAATTTATTCCTTATTTATGTGCAAAATATGACACCCAAGTCTGAATTGTGTGTGCTTGTTTTAAAGAAGGTGAAGCGCACATAACTCTACGCACCTACGTTTGAAACTTTGGCCAGTAATGGTAACAGAAGGAGACTGCAATATCTAGACAACACAGAGCCCTACTTATCATTCACCACACATGGTCATGCCACTACCACTAGGGCGGCCCAGTGCTTGGATAAGATCAGCTCAAGGACAAAGAACAGCTGGCTGAAGCTGACCCCAACCAAGACCGAGGTTGCGCTCGTGGGCAGGGGAAAGCATTTTGAAGAGTTTGCAGACACAGTGCAGTCCATACTGACCAACATTTTCCAATTAATTTCAGGGAGGTTTGTGGAGGCAGCCAGGCCAAATTTGACTGAGTGGCATTGCGACGTGGCTCTTGGGGTGGCAGCGCCACTCATGTTTGGCCCAGCCAAAACAAAACGGATGTACAAAATAAAAACAGTCTGAATGGTTTGGAAAAGCACTTAGCGTCAGTCTTCTAAGGTTATAGCATATACTCATGGCCCCATGGGATTCTGAAGTAAACTGGACCTAAACTACCATTTTTAGGTTTCAGTGCCAACAGTCTTTTGACATGAATGAGTTTACATATAAGAGCTATTGTTTCAGGAAGAAAACATTGAATTGGTTTTCATTCACATTTTTGAGGTTTTCTACTTAATCATCAGGGCTAGAAATATAATTTAATAAAAAAAGGAAGCTCAGCATTTGAAGCAATAGATAGATTTGGTGGTAAATTTCAAGGCCACCGAATCGCAGAATGCATGGGGCTCAGCTCAAGACACTGTATCTCTGACTGCTAATAAAGTTAACTTTTGGCAGTTTGGTAGAACACAGATCTTAGAGATCAGCATTGCCAAAGAAGTTACGAGCATATTACAGACTATAAAAGAAAGATTTTTCAAAGATAAAACCTATATACAACAGACAAGAAATTGTGGGAGGGAGGGAGGGAGGGGAGAGAGGGAAAAATTAAAAGAAATAGTGCCACTGATGGAGAATCTAACCCTATTAAGTTAATTTTGCAAAAAATGTAACGTTCAGACATCTAGACAAACTGTTTATATAAGCTGGAAAAAAGTCCAGAACGGTTTGCACAGTAAGACACAGTTATATCCTTAAAAGATTTTGGTTGATCAGTGAAGCATCAAGATGTTTTACTGCAAGAGACAGAACCTGTTGGCCATTTTTTGTCTGGTGTTTATCAAAAAAAAATTTGGCTTCATGTATTTTGATATAAAATATATTTCCCCCCACAAATAAAGCACTTCAAAATGTGCAAATATTTTAAAGTTTTAGTATCTAATCCTGGAAAATAAATTCCCCTTACCAGCCCCGCATGGCTGTAGTTAAACCCTAGTTCTCGAGATATTGTCCAATTGGCATGTTCTTCAGTCACTGTCATGTCTGGAAACTTTACAGGGCTGCTAAACCAATCAAATTCCAGCTCTAAACATGGAGTTTCCTGAGGAAAAAAGAATTTTCATGATTGTTCTGAAACAAATTATAAATTAGAAATCACTATAATCTGAACAAGTAGATGTGTGTTACTAAGGCTGAAATTAGAATATAAGCATCAATTTACCTTATTTGGATTTGACCCAGTAACGCCAATAGGATTTAGCAGATCTTCCAGCCCATGAGGCACAGGCCACAGATTCAAAGCCATTTTCCCAGACACAAGAGTGTCTGTATAATCAAACATGTTTATATTTCCCCAAGCCAATGGGCAGTGTTCCTTAAAAAGATCAAATGATCATTAATAAATGAGAGTGAAGAGTGATCAAGTTATAGTACAATATTGGATTTCAAGGAATAAAGGGAGGAGGAAAAAGATTTTTGAAAAACTGAACTATGGAATCACACAATTATAAAGTAGATCAAAACACTATTTGTATTGTAGTGCATTGACACTATGGGAAACCAGAAATATAATTTATCAAAATGAAAGCCAGCATAGTTAACAGCCACTATTTTTCCTACATTTTTGACTTGCTTGTTTGTTATATCTTGATTTCTAAGTTTTCTAACCAAGAAAACACCACCACCACATACGCATGAAAGTCATGTGCATGCACGCTGAATCAAATATTTCTCAATACTTTTTTCAGGCAATCTTGTTTGGATATCAGGTGTCAGCTGGATTAAGGAAAATAGTGTAGTAGAACCTTGCTATTAAGAATAAATAATGTATTACCGTAATTAATCAATTTTTTAAGTTATCAAAAAGAGCAAAGCAAACAATTAAAAGGCAAGAATTACATCGCAAGTTGTACTCTGTTCATTTTGACAAATCTAGTTTTAATTATTTGTGATAATACTTAATTTACACAATATATTACAGAACATATAAGATTTGTCATGAGACATTACAGCACTATGTCTCTGCTATTAAATCCTTACTGTCAAATGTGGAGAGACAGTGTGTGTGAAAGTATGGATTATCAAATATGTAGGTTAGCAGAGAGCAAATTATGACAGCTGTAGCATATTTTCCCTGTGAGACTTCAAACCTCTGTCTTGTCAGCTGCTGTGACAATCATTTCAAAGAACACAATCTAAACAGTTACAGCTGCCTACCAGGATTTTTTCCTCAAGTAAGTCTTTCAAGGATTTTAAACTGCACAAAAATGCAAAGTCTTATATACTCACAAACTAACATAAAAAACGGATAGTACATCAGAACACACCCACACACACACTTAAGACCAAAGTTTTTGAGCCTCGATGCTTAAAGTTAGGATCCAAAACCCACATTTTAGGCACCTCAGTAAAGCTTGCTGATTTTTTTCAAATTGCTTAGCAACCCCAACTCCCATTTAAGTCAAAAGGAGATACAAATGCTCAGCACCTTCTCACACACCTGTATTTTTTAGGCACCTAAGAATGGCTTGAGGAACCTAACTTTAGGCACCCACGTTTGAAAATTTCGGCCTAACCCTTTCTGTTCAACAATACAGACCACAATTAGTGCTGCATGGATAATATACAACAAATATATCAGGTAACAAAAAAATTTATTTGTAGTCAAAGTTAAGAGAAGTTTCTATACATCTTGGGTGATATTTTAATCAAATAAAAATTCAAGAAAATAAAAGATTTTGGTAAGACCAACTTCTATTGAAGTGTTGGCCAACTGTTCTTCCCAAACTTGCCTGCCTGGAGTTTTATCTAACAACACATTAGAACTATTAAAATTATTAAATATTTTACCTCCTTAGCACCCTTTCTGCCCTTAACAGAGCAGATGGAAAGGCAAAGCCGAGCAGCACGTGGGAGATCAGGAATGTACATGTCATATGACAGCCATTCATTCCATCTGTGGGATTTTAAAAGTAAAATAAAAACCAGGTTAAAACAGATAAAACTCAGTACACTTTAGTTAGTAAATAGGCACAAAACGATATGGAAAAATCAGAGTTTGTTCCTCCTCCAAGCATATTAAATATATATTTCTACTCTAGAAGAGCATCATCATCAAAATGGCACTTTCTGATTGAGCAGATCAGCCTCCTGCATGTATTCAGTCACGTCTACTGCTTTTAGTCACCAAAGTCTTTATTGCTTTTTACTCTGGTTAGCCCTGCAGAACCAATGTCGCTCCGAGAAAGTGAGCTGGATTTTATTCCTTCTTGGGCAGCTCTTCAATAGAATTGTTTACCAAATTTAATCAACACTTGCACAGACTCCCTGACTGTAATTGTCAACGTAGGCCTAGTCTGAAGACATGGGCTTGCATAGTTGTTATTGAGGATTTAATTTGGCCTGCAAAATCTTTAACTATTCATGAAGATGCATACAAAGTAAAGAAGTTGGCTTGACTCTCAGAGCCCAGTTTGAGTTACAAGAGGTAGTTAGTTGAAAATATGTGTTTCTACTTGTAAACTCAGTATTGGGATAATTCGGAAACAAACAATGCCATATTTATAGTTACATTACAATATAGAGCCACGCATTTTTAAGCACTTTAGTAGGCTTAAGTCGAGCAAAAAAATTTAAGCACGTCAGAACAGGATATAACTAATATGTAAGGCTGCGGGTTTGTCATGGAGGTCACGGGATTCCGTGACTTTCTGTGACCTCCGTGACTTCTGCAGCGGACGGTGCGCCTGGCTCAGGGGCAGCTCAGGCAGCCCGTGCTGCTGCTGGGGCAGTCTTGGACCCCCGCACCCCCGCCAGCAGCAGAGTTTGGGTGTGGGGGGGGGGCAGGCGGCTGGGGCACAGGACGAGGTGAGGCGGGCTCTGGGCGGTGCTTACCTGGGGGGGCCCTTCAGGAGCAGTGACGTCCCCCTTCCTCAGTTGCTAGGCGGAGGCGTGGCCAGGCAGCTCTGCATGCTGCCTCCGTCCAGAGCGCTGGCTTTGCAGCTCCCATTGGCCAGGAACCACGGCCCATAGGAGCTGGGACGGTGCCTGGCCACGCCTCTGCCTAGCAGCTGAGCGAGGGGGGTGTCGCCGCTTCCAAGGAGCCCCCCCAGGTAAACGCCACCCAGAGCCTGCCTCACCCCTTCCCATGCCTCAACCCCCTGCCCCCTTCCACACCCAAACTCCGCTGTTGCTGGGAGAGTGGGGGGGGAGGCGTGGAGCCAGGTAGGGAGCCTGCCGGCCCTGCCAACCCCCCCGCCCCAACACTAGCGGGGGTCCCAGCCTGTGCGCCACCACCTATGCCCCCCCAGCACCAGCAGGGGTCCTGGGCTGCCCCCCCCCCAGCAGCCAGGCTGCCCTCCCCCAGCACCCGCAGGGCCCCCAGGCAGCACTTACCCCCCTACCCCTCCTCACAAGTTTTATGCACTGGTATTTTTAGTAAAAGTCATGGACAGGTCACGGGCCATGAATTTTTGTTTACTGCCCATGACTTATCTGTGACTTTTACTGAAAATACCCATGACTAAAACGTAGTCTTACTAATATGTAAATAGACGCTCTCTGAAGAAATCCCCCTCCCCTTCCAAGATGTAGAGGAAGTACTGTCACAGACAAATGGAAGAAAAAAAAATTCAATTCTGAGGATATAAACCCTAAGAGGAAGTAAATGAATGAAAAACTGTCATACACCACTGGTCAGTTTTACATTTAGTAAAAACCAGTGTCTCCTCACTCTTCTCCCTGATGTACACTTCCTTTTCCCGGGTATGATAAAATATTGTGTTTTTTTCTTAAGGTTAAGTTTCGCTACAAATTTGGTATTTGTATTTACTAAATGCCAACAATCTACAGCAGTGGTTTTCAACCTGTGGTCTGCAGGTCCTTGGGAGTCTAAGATTTCCAAAGGGGTCAGCCTCTCTATTTGAAAATTTTTAATGGTTCGCAAATGAAAAAAAGGTTGAATATCTCTGATCTACAGCGATACTTCCTGTACAACAGTGTAATAAGAAAGAATAATTTCCTAGCTAGCTAATGGGATACTTTCCAAATATTTGCATAGTTATATTAATTATGATTCTGTTGAGACTGCACAGGAAACAATTAACAACACTGGAGAAGAATACTTGAATTTAGTACAGGATGTCTGTTAGCCAATGAAAGTCAGAGAAGCCTGAAGAACAGTGAGTGCAACCAATTACTGCACTGTAACTAATAAAATAAGGCTGTAAAGGTTGTTATAATTACAAATGGTTTCTTCAAATGCTCCATTTTACAGAGCAGCAGGATTGAAATTTTACAGTCTTTTATAAGTGACAGTAGGGATTTTCATCTCAATAGCTCCCTAGCATTACATACTCTGCACATGAAGGCAATTTTTGGAGTTCCATCACCTTTTAACCTCCATATAAATAATAAACAGGCACATACTCTGCTCTCTGCTACAAACACTAATACTGGGGTTACTTCACTGAAGTTAATGGAGTTACTTCAAATTTACACTTGGGTGTCAAAGAGCAGAATTTGGCTCTACAGAACTACCAAGTATTATCATTATTATTGTTGTTACAGACTTCTTAAAACATGTTGAATATATCAACTTATATGTTTGGCTATTACCCTACAAAAGCAAAGATGCATAATTATATTTTCTTTGTTGGGTTGCCAAGTTAGATTTCCTCTGTTCGAAGAGGGCACCAGCTTTTAAAAATTGACTATGCTCATGGAAGAACTGAAAAGCTAACACAAAATGCTAAAAAGGAGCATTTTAAAAGCGAACATTAAGTTCTTAAAAGTTGCAAGTGTATCAATAGTGCTCCCTTAGCTCTACATAGACCTTACTCTTTGGATTTCTGCTTAAAAGGAGACTGATATTATTTAAGAACATAAGAATGGCCATACTGGGTCAGACTAAAGGTCCATCTAGCCCTGTATCCTGTCTTCCGATAGTGGCCAATGCCAGATGCCCCAGAGGGAATGAACAGAACAGGTAATCATCAAGTGATCCATCCCGTCGCCCATTCCCAGCTTCTGGGAAATAGTGCTAGGGACACCATCCCTGCCCATCCTGGCTAATAGCCATTGATGGACCTATCCTCCATGAATTTATCTAGTTCTTTTTTGAACCCTGTTATAGTCTTGGCCTTCACAACATCCTCTGGCAAGGAGTTCCCACAGCTTGACTGTGTGTTGTGTGAAAAAAATACTTCCTTGTGTTTGTTTTAAACCTGCTGTCTATTAATTTCATTTGGTGGCCCCTAGTTCTTGTGTTACCTGTATTATCGTAGCACCTAGGAGTCTTAAGTCATGGATCAGAAACCCACTGTGCTAAGTGCTGTACAAACAGAACAAAAGGACAGTTCCTTCCACAAACAGCTTGTAATCTAAGTATAAAACAAGAGACAAAACAGATGGATACAGATAGATGGGGGAATATAAGGACACGAGACAACGATGGTCAGAATGACAGGCTGTGGCCTCTGTGCACCAGTGGCCTAGTTTTTGTTCATTTTTTTGGAGCCATCACAGAAAAGGAGAGAGTTTGAAGGAGGATACTGATGTAGCTTTGCAACTATTTACTCGGAACTCCTCTAATGTGTGAGGGGCAGCATGGGAGAAAGCACAAAGGTGTTTGAAAACTTAACAATTAGAGGATGGATGCTGTCATCATTGACCAATCGGAGGAAAGAGTCAATATCTTGGTAGTGAATGAGAGATGATAGGTAGCGCAGGCTGCAAGGGGCTCTGAAAGTGAAGATGAGTAACAGGTTTGATGCAAGACAGAAGGGGAAGTCAGTGGAGGGCCATAAAGAAAGGGGTGACATGGTTAAAGCAACAGGCTAGGAAAATGATTTTTGCAGCAGCATTCTGAACGGTAAGACTGAATTAACCAAGGCCAGAGAAAAGGATATTGCAGTATTTGAGATATGCATTGATGAAAGGTTGAACAAGAGTTTTAGTTGTGTGAATGGATGGGAAAGGTTATATCTTGGAGTTGTCATGCAGAAAGAACCAACAAGACTTTGATCTAGCTTGGATGTGAGGATCTAGAGAGAGGTCCAAGTCAAAGATGACACCAGATTATGAGTGTGAGCAACAGGCAGGCAAGTGGGGTTGTCCACAGGAAAAAGAAAGGAGGCAGCTGGGAGGCCTTCAAGGGGAAGATAAATAGCTCTCTTGTAGCCATGTTGAACCTGAGCTGACAGCAAGACAGCCAAAAAGAGATTTCAGAGAGATACGCTAAGATATTAGTTCGGACAGAAGGAGACTGGAGTAGAGAGGTAGATCTGTGAGTTGGCCCCAGAGAGTTGAATTTGTGTTTGTGGAGGAGATTACCCAGAGAAAAGAGAAGGGGACCAGGGACAGAGCCCTGCAGAATTCCCCCCCCCCCCCAAATTGGGAGATGGCATGATGAAGATCCTCCAAAGGACACGCTGAAGGAGCAATGAGAGAGTTAGGAGGAGAACTAGGGGAGGGAGAAAACAGTTATGGAAGCTAAGGGAGGATAAGATTTCAAGAAGAAGGGAATGGTCAACTATCAGGTCAACGAGGATGAGGATAGAGTACTAGTTCTGAGATATGGCTAAGAAGAGACCATTGGCAAGAGCAGTTTCACTTGAGAGCAAGAGACAGAAGCTGGACTGGAGAGGGTCTAAGATGGAACTAGAAGGGAGGAACTCCAGACAGCAATTGTAAACAATGTGTTCAATAACCTTAGAAATAAAAGGGAAAAGGGAGATAAGGTGGATAGAGGAGAGGAGAAACAGAGAATCAACCACCATAACAGTAGAAGAGAAGGCTGAAAGCAGACAAGTTGTTAGCATTGGATTGGAAATAAGAATGTCAAAATGGCCATATCGGGACATACCAAGGGTCCATCTAGGCCAGTATTCTGTCTTACGACAGTAGCTGGTGCCAGATGCTTCAGCAGGAGTGAACAGAACAGGGCAATTATTGAGTGATCCATCCCCTGCCATCCAGTCCTAGCTCCTGGAAGCCAGAGGCTTAGGGACACCCAGAGCATGGGATTGCATCCCTGATCATCTTGGCTAATAGCCACTGATGGACCTATCCTCTATGAACTTATCTAATTCTTTTTTGAACCTAGTTTGGCCTTCATAACATCTTCTGGCAACGAGTTCCAAAGGTTGACTGTGCGTTGTGTGAAGAAGTGCTTCCTTTTCTTTGTTTTAAACTTGCTGCCTTTTAATTTCATCCTGTGACCCCTGGTTCTTGTGTTACATGAAGGGACAAATAACACACCCTTATTCATTTCCTCCACACCATTCATGATTTTATAGACTTCTATCCTATCCCCACTCAGTTGTCTCTTTTTCCAAGCTGAACAGTCCCAGTCCTTCTCTCTCTCCTCACATGGAAGCTGTTTCATACCCCTAATCATTTTTGTTGCCCTTCTCTGTACCTTTTCCATTTCTAATATACCTTTTCTTGAGATGGGGCAACCAAAACTGAATGCAGCATTCAAAGTGTGGTCATATCATGGCTTTATATAGTGGCATTATATTTTCTGTCCTATTATCTAACCCTTTCCTAATGGTTCCTAACATTGTTAGCTTTTTGACTGCAGCTGCACATTAAGCAGATACTTGCAGAGAACTATCCACAATGACTCCAAGATCTCTTTCTTGAGTGATAACTAATTTAGACCCCATCAGTTTGTATGTAGAGTTGAATTTCGTCTGCCATTTTGCTGCCCAGTTACCCAGTTTTGTAATTCTTCAAAGTCTGCTTTGGACCTAGCTATCTTGAGTAATTTTGTATCGTCTGCAAACTTTTCCACTTCACTGTTTACCCCCTTTCCAGATCATTTATGAATATGTTGAACAGCACTGGTCCCAGTATAAGCTCTTGAGGGACACCATTATTTACCTCCCTCCATTGTGAAAACTGACTCTTTGTTTTCTATCTTTTTACCAGTTACTGATCCATGAGAGAACCTTCCTTCTTATCCCATGACTGTTTACTTTGATTAAGAGCCTTTGGTGAGGGACCTTGTCAAAGGCTTTCTGAAAGTCCAAGTACACTATATGCACTGGATCACCCTTGCCCAGATGCTTGTTGACCCCCTCAAAAGAATTCCATTCAAAATATGGAAAGGTCAAGTGACAGGGGGAGTGTGCCAATAAGCGATACTGAAAAAGACCAAGTGATAGTCTGGGAGGGGGAACTCAGCAACAGAGAGATCAGAGAGAACAGCACTTGGTGAATTTCCACATCAACAGCTCTTTTGGTGAATGGGAGAGTTAAACCAAGACTAACAAAATCATTCATTTTCCTATTAACAAAATGTAGGTCACATTAGATTATTTTTTTACCATTTGTATTGTTTACTCAGCATGGATAGTGAAACTAGACCAGTCTGTTTAGAGTCAATTCACTTTCTGGTTCTCATGAACCAGTATAGTGCTGCTATGTTTGGTTTCTTGTCTTGGGTGGATGAAGCTCCCCTGCAAGAGGCTAATGCAAAAGGGATACGGATGCAGATTCTGGAACGCAAATGAGCTATATCAAGTGATATAATCCTCCACCAAGAGAAAAGGGTGGCCTATCATGAAGCTTCTGATGAGCATAAACTTCAGAGGCAGCGGCTGTCAGTATAAGCCACCTTCATTTCCATCCACATGATCTTCTCAGGGATGGAAAAACAAAAGTGCGCACAGCCTCTCACATAGTAGGGAGCTAAAGTACAGCATGGTTGAAAAGATTCCTTTTAAGTGGATTCATGCTGCAGTCAGTACAGAACTACACAACTCAGAACCCCCAATACAGCCGCAATCCCTGTTGTTGGCTACTAGTACCTGGTATCAGAAGACTAGGGATATGGAGGGGCAACTTTTTCTGAAAGTTCCTTCCCCTGAAATTACAATACAGGGGGGAAATGGCTATCTTGCAGCCTCAAGAGCTTTGGAGAAGAGCCAGTGGCTGAAGACAAAGAATGGAAAAAACTTTTTTAATGAATATGATAATGTTCTGGACTAACACCTTTCATCATTCTTTCCCTAAAGAGAGACTTCCTCCCCAAACATCCATACACTATATTAACACTGCAGATAAACTGAACCACAGCTACTGGGGGAGAGAAATTATTTTTCAATAACCATATATTATATAATTAACAGGCCTAATAGAATATCTATTCATTCCCTTGGAGAGCAGTAGTGTTTGCAAGCAAAATTTAAGTACCAACTAATAAACTTTTCTAAAGACATGCAAGGTCAATCAGACAGAAAATGTGAATTTGGAATTATTTTTGAATACATTCTGGGTCTGATCCAAGCAGATACTGAGGCCCCACAACTATCATTAGAGCCAGAGAGCGAGCACTGAAGAAATTGCAAAGTACTTTTTAGAGATTAAGACCTTTGTTTTAAATTCACTGGCATACATTCGTACCACACACATTTTGTATTTACATCACCACCATTTGAATTTCCACATTTCGTTTTTAGACACAACCAGAGTAGATCTAATCTATTTAGGTTTTCAAATCAATTAATTTCCATTCTAGTGAATTGCTCTCTGATCTTCTCTTTGCCTCGTAGCTCTTCTTTACATGGGCCACAGTGTATGTCAATTCCACCTTTTCCTCTGTATTTTTATTTATACACTTTTCTCTTCTCACTTACAAAACTCTTTTCCCCTAACAGTATCTATTCCTATATTTTTTAAAGCTCTTTCTATTCCCTGCCATATTTCAGGGGCATCCTAATTCCAGATTTCCAGTTGTCCTGAAGCCCTAACAGCATTTTCCCCTCCCTAGTGGCTTGTGTTGGGTTGGTGGACATTGATTAAATCACAATCCAACATGTTGATAGTGAAAAAGGTTTCCACTTAAAGCACGGATCTCAAACTCAAATCACCAAATCACAAATAAGGACTAGTACGTTGGCCCAAGGGCCGCATCACTGAAACCTTTTCATACAACGATACAAAAGTATAGTAAAAAATGAAGAGTAATATACTATGCTATTAAAAGTCAATATTAACTTTTTAAAAACTGTAATGCAAAAAGGGGTTTTAGTAAAATATAAACACCTGTAACTATTTCTTATGTGGTCAGTAACACTGATGATGATCTACACTAACAGCCTATCAACATAGCTGTAATGGCAGGAACTTTTTAAAGTAACTATTCTTACAAAATACATTGCCACTTTTAACAAATATTCTTCCCAACTACTCACAGCAAAGAATCAAACATACTGAACTTCATACCTCAGACTGCTCATCTAGTCCATGAGGCCCCGCCCCTGCCCCGCCTCTTCCCACCCCTTCCCCATCCCGATTCCAACCCCTTCCCCAAATCCCTGCCCCAGCCCTGCCTCTTTTCCACCTCCTCCCCAAGCATGCCGCCCCTCCATGCTCCCCCCCTCCCTCCTGGAAAGTCCTAAGGGCCACCAAACAGCTGTTTAGAATCAGGAAGCACTGGGAAGTAGACAGAGGAGTGGGGACGCGGTGTGCTCGGGGGGGAGGACGAGGGGGGACGGGGGAGTGAGGGGAGCTTGGCTGCCGGTGCACTTGGCGTCTATGGCAGGCCGCAGGAAATAACTCCGTGGGCCGCATCGTGTTTGAGACCCCTGACAAAGTGTGGTTTTATTTTGAGAAGTGATTCTATTAAACTGTATTGTGAGGTTCCCTGTTTATTATGCCTCACTCATTGAAAAACAATTGCCCAAACAGATTGTTTGTATTGTGATATTGCCTAGGAACCCCGTCATGTACCCAGATTCTAGTGTGAGATCAACAGAACAAGTGGTAGAAGACAGTATGTTAAGCAGCCAGCTCTGCAAACACACCTTGGGATCTGAAAGTCAAGCTATGTTTGTCTTTTTGTCATAGTGATAGATTCTGCAGGGCAAACACTTGTGCAACCCTCTGAAAAAAACTGTTGCATGTTACAAGCAGAATGTGAACTTGCAATTGGAGCTTTGCTAACAAGTCACAAGCCAGAACAGAATCTAGCTCAATTTTCAGTAGCTATGCTGGTTCTGTATTGTAAAACAAAAAGGGGAAATGTAGCAAATTTTTGGGTCACAGACAAAACTCTGAATACACGTAGAGAACAGACCTGTTGAGTAAAAGGTTGCTGCTTTTACATAATATTTTACAAGCCAAAATGAAGATCTGCAAAGCCTAAATTAATCCAATTAAACAAATTTGTAAACGGAAATGAGTAATCAATTTAAAAGGAAAACTCCAGTGATTAATTAGAATTCTTAGACAGCTATACACGTTAAATAAGAACGTTTTTCGTTTATGATAAATGATTTTCAGTACCTCCTTTTAGAAAATAAGGCTTGCTTTTTCTCTTGGTGGGGCCTACTATCTTAATGATACTCCCCTGTTTGATGGTAAAAATTGGTACTGACAATCTATTTCTGCTTTAGAAAACTCTGGAAATCAGATTTCCCTGAATTGTTACAGTAACATTATTTACCTGGGATTGGAACAAGGTACCCTTTGAGTATTCACATTGTCACATAATGGTTCTCCTCCATGGTAGATACCAGTTCGGACATAGATCTGAAAATAACGTATTTAAGCATTATCACCTGTTATAGCCCATTTGAATGCTAGACCCTAGTCTGAACAAAGATTTTACTGTAAACACCAACACTATTAGATGCTGATTAGAACCATGTGTCACACTTTAATTTCTATCAATTTGAGAAAAAGCTATATGGCATAAATGAGTTCACATACTGTAAAGTATTCTTACTGTGCTTCTAGTACAAAATTTTAGTTTACTATCTCTGCATCACCATTTCAAAGTTAGTTATGACTGCATTTCAAATAACTTTAAGTAGTAACATAACTGGAATTTATCCTTGATTACCAGGGCAAGCCATGGGGATGGAAGATAAACTGGGCAACTTCCAAGCACGCAAAAGAGCTAGGGTGGTAACAGTTTACGCTGAAATCTTTCTTTCTTTCAAGTAAGGGTAGTAAACATGTCCCAGTTCTTACAGTAATGGCTCTTTAAGCATAGTATTTGTTGTTTTAAGATACACAAGAAAAATCTTTACTTATTTTTTCCTGCTTCTCCCCAAGTTTATTTTAGATAAATCACCAAATTAAGACCTGATACTACAAATTGCTAAGCATCCAGCCTCAATGCTTTGGTTTTCACAGATTGTAAGTTACAGTAATATGTAAAAGGGAAAATTTTAGAAGTTTTATGATGCTTCTTATTAAATGAATAAGACCAAAATTCTCAGATTTAGGTGTCTAAAACAAGTGGCCTAATTTTCTAATGTGTCATGTAATTCCTAGTACCCACTGAAATTAATGTCAGCTGAGGGTGCTAAAAACTCTGAAAAATCAGGTAATGTATTTGGATACCTAAAGAAAGATTTAGGTACTTTAGGCAGCCAAGTTTGAAAGCATGGGCCTGAATTTATGTACTGACTTCTGTGTATGTCAAAAGAAAAAATGGTGGCATTGGGAGCAGCGTGTGCGCACACCACTTAACTTCTGGAAGATACTTTCAATTTTGTTTTGTTTTTTAAAGAGGCGTCTATATGGCCTTTTCAAATACACTGCAGCTTAACCATAATTTTTTCCTTATTTGATGGTCTATCACAGGGGTCGGCAAACTTTTTGGCCCGAGGGCCACATCTGGGAATAGAAATTGTATGGCAGACCATGAATGCTTACAAAATTGGGGTTGGGGTGCAGGAGTGGGTGAGGGCTGTGTTTGGGGGTGCGGGCTCTGGGGTGGGGCCAGAAATGAGAAGTTCAGGGTGCGGGAGGGGGCTCCAGGCGTGGGTGAGGGCTCCGGCTGGGGGTCCGGCCTCAGAATGAGGAGTTTGGGTTCAAGAGGGTGCTCCAGGCTGGAATCGAGAGGTTCAGAGGGTGGGAGGGGGATCACGGCTGGGGTAGGGGCGTGGGGAGAGGCTCAGGGGTGCAGGCTCCGGGCGGCGCTTCCCTCAAGCGGCTCCTGGAAGCCGCACCTCCCTCCTCTGACTCCTATGCTGAGGTGCAGCCAAGTGGCTCTGCACGCTGCCCCGTCCGCAGGCCCCACTCCTGCAGCTCCCATTGGAGCGCCAGAGGGGACCATTGGACCATATAGGAGCTGAAGGGGGGGCCATAGCTCTGCTTCTGGGAGCCGTGTGGAGTGGCCCCCGACCCTGTGCCCCGGCTGGAGTGCTGGAGCAGAGCAAGCCCCAGATCCTGCGCTGGGGAGCTCGAGGGCCGGCTTAAAACAGCCTGTAGTTTGCCCAGCCCTGGTCTATCATGTACTTTTAGTTAGAAAATGTGCTTTGAAAATATAAACTTTGCTAGTTGTCGGTGTGCTCTGTATGCGCTAAGGCCCTGTCCAATACTCACTGGTCAGTGGGAGTCCTTCCACTGACTTGAAGTGTGAGTTAGGCCCCTAATCAACACTAGTAGCAGGTATCAGCATATACTGTTGACCAACTGATTCCCTAATTTTGTTAGAGAGGCCTATTGAACTGAGTGTGGCTCAGTGTTTTCATTCTGATTCTAGGCAATAATTTAACATCCTTGCATTCAGAATTTCACTTACCTTGTCAATGTCTCGAATGTTTACATTTACATAGGTGGCACAAAGAATTCTTATCCTGAGAGCACTGTTTATGACCCAGAGAGATTTGGCTGAAGCTTCACCATTCATGTATGGTGTAGCTGTAGAGATCCGCCTGGAATAAGATGGCATTGTAAAGGTATCCAGTGGCAGCTGGGTATAAAGGCTTTCCTTAGCCATCAGCATCAGGTTGGGCATTCGGCCAAGCATTATACAACTTCTTATGTACTGCAATAGTTGGAAGAAAAAAAGAAGACTGTTTTGCTGTATTTTCTTTGTAATCAACACTTAAAAATATTAAAGGAAAGTGTATATACAATCCAGAAGACTAAAAAAATTACATTTAATGAGCTCTTGTAGCAGTTATCTTTATAGCATCCTTTACATTGTTTTCAGTTACAACACCAATGCTTTTAACTAGCTTATTGCACATGACCAAGCAGGCAGCATGATATACAAATTTTAAGAAAAAAATAATTAATGTCTGCAGCAGTAGCACATTCTATCTGAATTCCATGTTTCCAGCTAGCAGTAAAGGGCTGGAGGTGTCGTGTTACAATTGAGGTACAGTCTCTAAAGAGAAAGCAACACAACTCAGTCAGTCTCTGTCACCAGGTCTATTGAGTAACATTGATGTCTGCTCCAAAGGGAGCAGCTCACCCACTCTTCCATCCAGTGGTTCCCTGTCAAAGTGATAGCTATTACTTAAGACAAAAAACCACAAGGCTGGGAGAAAAAAAAGAGAGAAACCCAGGGACAAAGAAAAATTAAAAACGACTTACCTATAATTTCTGCAGTGGAGGGATACTCAGGATTGTTATTTCAATAACCACAAAGCAAACAGGAGTTAGAATATCTATTTCTAAATAAAAATGTCATTTACAGTAGTAATGTCTATTTTGTAATTTAGCATTCTCTCTCTCAGGAATGTAGGGTGGTATTTCCAAAAGTGCTCAGCACTGGCTCTTACTCGATCAGAATAAATTCCCACAGACTTCAATGGGAGCCTGGGTAGACCAAAGCTGAGCACTTCCGTTGCATTTTTATTTACAATTAACTGTACACAGTAAAGTCAATTGCACAAAAATTTAAGCTAGTTGGCTAATATGAATTTTCATTTTCTGCCTTCTGAATTAGTTTAAGAAATGAAACTTAAGTCAGTCACATAATCTTAATACATCAGTCCCTTACTGCCCTCCCAATTTTAATTCTTCTAGTGTATTTTTAAATAAATCTATTAATTTACAACAAGTAACTCACCTTATACTGGCTCAGAGGATATTTTTCTAGCAAGTATTCATCACAGCCGCACACTTTTAAAATATACTTCCCCTGGTACTCTAAAACGCAGAGTTTTAGTTGTTCAGATGACAGCAACATACTTCGTGTTTTTTTCCTGATTGCTTCAGCAATAACTTGCTCAGGAACACAGTCATGGTTGATTTTTAAGGTATATTTCTGCTTGTCATTGTTCGGGGACACTATTACCCATATCACCACTATTATTTGCCCTGGAATAATGTGAAATAACATCAGATTCTATTATTGCCCACACATAGTCTTCTAAAGAAACTGGTCAGACTCGAAATTGCTTGTCATAATCCTTACTGAAAGAACATGCAGGGACAATTCACAGCCCAAAGTGCAGAGAACCTTCTGCAAAAGTGCTCAGTGGACTCTACTTACATGGACTTCTGAAAAAGCCATTCTGGTCTTACTGTCCAAGTACATGTACATTCAAACTGTCATTTAACTACAAAACTATTTCTAAACAACTAGTACTTATTCAGCCAATCTTTTTCCACTGACAATATGTCTATTCTGTAACTAAGGACTAAAAGATAGTTTATGTTTCCAGGATCATTTAATTCTACATGTTCTAAATATTATTAGAGACACTTCTGAACTCAGACAAAAATGCTAATAGCAGCTGGCAAATCAGTCCACCCTGTCACATAATCACTGAAACAGTTGCATCAATCAGTGCAATAACTGGATAACTCAAGCTGTAAAAGTTTTCCTAGTTCAATTTTCTATATTCTATGTGCTTGATCAAATGTGGCATTTCTTTTGAGTTCAACTCCTACTAAGCAGGTTATCCTGACTGAAGACAAAGCGTGTAACCAAATTGTAAGACGTTGCTACAGTGTATTAAATATACTACATAAATAACAATTCACCTGTCGGCCATCACGAATCGTACTAACTGAAATTTTTGTGAATAGAAATAAGTACCATTAAGTCATTATAGCAAACATTTGTTTTACCTTTATCTAGTTTACTGTATATGTGCTTGGGCAGTTCAGGTGAAGATTCAACATTTGGCGGACAGACATATAATGCTCTACTATGGGGTGCATTCACATCTCGAAGATCCACTGCTTCTTTACAAACATTAAGAATATTTCTTCTGAAGTCCTGGACTTCTGGATCCTTAACCATATCAAATTCACAGACAGGCATGCCAATAGCAAAACCTAAGATATTGAAAAAATACTTAAATAGTCAGTGACTAATAAATATATTGTAGTACACTTTTCATAGAAATACTATTTTTCTATTGCTTACAGAATAAACATCCTGTATTTAAGCAGCTTATAAAAGCAATTCAAAATACTTGTTCACACTTTATATTAGCCACTAGTCCTCCACTCCTGCAGCTATGCTGTATAATGAAATCAACCTTATAATGGTAACAGTATACCTGGTAAATCTGGCAGCACTGCATTCAGGAGCACATGAAAGGGTTAGAACGGCATACACTCACTGAAGTAACCTGGGAGCTTCTGGGTCACTATAGGATGCCTCCCCCTGACCTCATCACAGCCAACATCCTCCAATAAGAACAGGACTAATGAGACTTCCTCTGAAGTCAGTCAATGAAGCTCCTTAAATTAGCCAGAGGAGTTGCTGTTACAGGACTCTCCCCAGACCTTGACTGGGTTTCACAGTGTGCTCAGAGCCCTCATCAGCTTCCTTCTATAACTTCAAGATCTACTTTACTGCACGTCAACTTTTCAATATTCTAGAACAGCTACAAGATTTAAGCTTTGACTGTCACATTAGGCACTTAACTTAGCTCTGGAAGATTCAGCAAGGGACCAATCCTGCAAATTCTCACTCAAGCACGTAGTTCCATTTACCTCAGCTGGACTACCCACAGACGTAAATGTTTACAGGATGGAACCCTCAGATTCTGGGCGTCACTTCAGAAACATGCTATGGGGATTGAGGAGGCATGCAAAGTTGTATCAGCATCCCCATTCCCGCCTCCTGCTGAGGCCACAGTTGCTTGTGAGGGGTTATTCGGCCACTCCCATCCGAGGGGCTGGAGGGGAGGAGTGGGGGTGTCGGGGGAAGTGTGTCCTCACTGACGGCTGGCCGAGGGCAGGTATTGAGCCTGATTTGCTCCAGACTCAGCTTTGGCCCAGGCTGCCACCCGAGGAGCAGTGCTGACAATGCAGTCAGTAGGAGCTACAGCCTGACCCAATGCCCCCACAGGTCCAGGGGAGACACCACAGTGCTAGTTGGTGAGGAGCTATGGCAAGGCTGGGCGGAGGGCCAAACCAACTGCCCCCCACCCCATAGCAAATGATGCCTCTGCTCAGACTGTACTGATAAGTGATTAAGATAACCTATTCAGGACCACTATTGTATTTTTCAACTTTCCTGAACTTGGAAAAAAGTCTATAGGGGTTCTCAAACGGGGGGTTATTATGTGGGGGTCGTAAGCTGTCAGTCTCTACCCCAAAATCCCACTTTGCCTCCAGCATTTATAATAGTGTTAAATATAAAAAAAAATGTGTTTTTAATTTATGGGCGGGGGGTCGCGCTCAGAGGCTCGCTGTGTGAAAGGAGTCACCAATACAAAAATTTGACAAGTACTGGTCTATACTAACCATTTAGTTTATCCTAAGTAACATTTTGGGGCACCTTGGGGGGAAAAAATAAGTTCTCTCACTTGAGATGTCCCTATTACAATAAATTTAAGATGCATCTGTTAGAGGCTTTAAGATTGGCTCATAAAACTTATTTTTAGCATGAATATTTACTGTAGTGCCACATTCAAGTGAGCAGTAAAGTTGCAAACTCAATGAAAAAAGTGAAGATTTTTATCACCCGGTTTTATCTACAAGATTTTATTTTACAAAATATAGTTATCTGATTTTTCAGACTGATAGACTGGAGGATAAGAAGAAAGCATTTATACAAAACTGGTTTGCTGTAGTGATTATTCCAAACAGTTATTAGTCAATCAAATACACCAAGTAGTGAGAATACTCACTCAACATTGTAAAAGAAAAGAAGGAGTGAGCCAACTGGTTTTGTACTGTGATGTGGTTATAATTGTAAAACACATTGTTGATCAGTGCAGGATAGATAAATACAAAAGCATACTACCATAATTTGCATTATTAAACCAAACATTCCCACCTAGGTTTGAAAAAGTTCTGCTCCCTCCTCCCCCCCATCTCATTCTCTCTGTGAAGTCTTCTTTTCTAAGCATGCTTTAAAAAAACAAAAAACAAAACAAAAACAAGGCTATTTAAAATCATTATTTAAATCTTTTTAAACAATTGACTTAAATTAGATTGAGGCTACGTAAAACCAATTAGACACTCTGTGTTAACACATTACATTAAAATTTATAAATGAACTAGCCTATTTGAATTTTCCAAAATTGCTATATATAGGCAAAAGAAAAAATATCAAAAATTAAGGCTCTGATCTTGTAAACATGTAGGCAGGTACATAACTCTGCTCACAGGAATAGTGCCACTAACTTCAACAGGATTACTCATTTACTAAAAGCTAAGTGCATGCATAAGTGTTTGCAGCACTGGGGGCTAAAATTGTATTTTATTAAAAAACTTCTCTCAGTAGCATAAAATCTTTGTCATTTCAAAACAAAACTGCTTCAGTGTTAAAGAAAATTATTTCAATACATTAAACAAAGTTATTGCAAACTTTATTAAAAAAAAATCACTCAAGCCAAAGTTTTCAGAAGCAGGAACCTAAAAGTTAGGCTCTTAAGACACACAGTATGGATGTTAATGAAATCCTGGACTTGTCTTTTTCATTTTAAGTGTGAAACTTCTTAGCAGAAAAAAAACTCTAATAATCTGAAATTCTACTAACAAGCAGGAAACTAATTAAAAGAAACAAGTAGAAAATATCCACTTTAGCCATACAAGAATATAAAATAGGAAGAGAAAGAATTAGCAACATATAAATAAAAAAAAATCTGATTTGAATGATAAATATTACTTGATATTTTAAAATCATGATTTTTTTTTATCCACTGTCTTGTTTCCTCCACTCTCCCCTTCACACTCACAAACTCACCCTATCTACTTATACCCACCCCTTCATACACTTTTCAAGCCCTAATAGCCAGCAAACTAAACAAACAGCACCAAAGCTATGGAGCCAGAGAGACAATGCTTTGTTGAGAACCCAAGGCCCTCTCACCCCCTTTGAACAATCTGCTAGGAAAGAGTGGAGTAGACTTAGACCAGATCACAACTACTTGCCCAGTGGCTGCATCAGAATTTAAGTGCTTCAGAATTTAAGATTTTTTAAATCTCTAATCAGTCTCTAATCTTTAAGAATACAAAAGTAGTTACAATGAGTTTAATTTTATTCTGCTATTACATGTGGGCAGAATCTGGAAAAATTACCATTTATTCTTTCCCCTACGCTCACTTTAGGATGAAGAGGAAGGTTCTGGATTCCTAACAGGGTGCTGACCACGGACCCTACACACAGGAACTCCATCTTTGGTAACCATCAGCTATCAAGTGCCTAAAATGTGAATTCCCCAAACACACTGGATGGAGGCACTGTCTCTCTTGGCACTGCTCCCTGATTCTCCTAACTGCTGCAAGAATAGCGGTTGTCTGCACTGGTCAACCCTTTCCCAGCCTCCATTTGGGGTTCTCCTCCCTAGTGTATACCTCCAGTGCCTACCTCTGTGCTGCCACCTAGAAAAGTCACAAGCAACAAAGTGAAATCGACCAGATTCTTGGTCAGCTTCACTGTTGCTTACAGGGTTCCCTATTACTCTGCTGCAGATTGGGAAGGCTTTGAGTAGCTACAGGCTTGTTTACACACAAAAGCTGTACCGTTTTACCTATTCCGAAATACAAGGTACAACCCTAACATCCGTTAGCTCTTCAATCATTACTGTTTCACTGAAAATCTCAAATTGTTTCTGACTGTAAGGTAATAAATCAAATACAATCAGTATCCAGTTACAGTGTGCTCTTCCTTGGCATTCATTGCTCATGCTTGGGACCATATGGCAAAATTACCATGGAAAGCAAGTAAAAGGAACCACGGTGGAATTTTCCAAAGCAACTAAATCTGTGTCTACAGACAAAAGTTGTATTGCTTTCACTATACTGAGAGCGATAAAACAGTACAATCCCACAAGTGCGTCACAGTTATATTAGTATGGCTTATACCCATACAGGAAGGTGAAGAAACCATTCTGGTACAAGATACCTTTATAACTGTGTCCACACTAGGGATTGTAATGATATAACTATTTCACTTTAAAAAAAAAATAAAATAAAATAAACATCCCTAACAAAAATAGTTATACCAGTACAAAAACTGCAGATAAACCAGGCAAAAAGAAGGACATTGCATCTATCTGTTTACAGACTTAGAAAGATACTGACTTATACTTGGTTCATGGCTGGAAATTTATCTTCTAGCCTTAATGGCTACACACTTTTCCTTTTAAACAAAAGTTTTGAGTCTGCAAAAGTTGATGACTTATTAGGGACAACTTCACATTCACCATAGTTAAGTGGATTTTTCAAGCCCCTTCTCCACCCCACAGTAGGAAATATCTGTTTTATATTTTGACACGGCTACACCAAAAGCTCCCTACATGCTACTCCCTGAAACAATCGAGACAATCAATAACAGGAATGACTTCAGGGTTCAGAACCCATTTGTACAATAATTTTACCCATTTTAAGAGGACAATTTCTACTGTTTTAAAATTAGTAATAAATAGTATTCCACAACCATTTCTGGGGAACTGTATAAAGACAAAACCAAACAAACAAAAAAAACCCACCACTTTCAAATGATTTTTTTTTTTAAAAAAACACTTTCCACTGACATTTTGCTTTAAAAAAAAATCCCTCCACTGCTAGTGAAAACCTACTCGCTCTCCAAAATGAGAACTGCAGCAGTTAAAATCCCAACTTTTTATTTGCACAACACAATAAAAGAGTGCTGGTTTTATTGTGATCACTGTCTTCGCTATATAGCTCATAACACCACCCTTAATCTCTGCCAGACAGCAGCAGTTTTTGCAAGATGGCAGCAAGTTACAATTGATGAGAATCACGTGCCCATTTCAACTCCTCTTTCAGTATTTTGAAGAGGACAAGCTGATTAAGTTTATTAACTAGGTAAATCAGAGAAGCTTTAAAACACAGAACATCTTACCAATTTCCCGATTAAGAATCTTTTCTTCTCTGTTGCCTACTGGTTCAATGACTTTTAAAAAAGGCTGAAAGAGCCGCAGGTCGCAAAGTCGCCGTGTTTCATCAAAAAATTCTTCTCTTTCGGCTTCTTGTGTAACACTTACGAAAATGTAAGAAGATTCATCTTGAAGGAGCTGATAAAGAGGGTATTTTCTTGCTTCTTTGAAGAGTTCATGCTTGATAGTCAGTAGTGTGGCCTCACGGAGGCATTCTAGAGTCACTATCATTCCATTAGGTAGAAGACACTCTACAAGGATCCTTGGTGGCATCAAATGGATGCCCCATAGTTCACCAGATGATGGTCTTGGAGGCATCTTCTTAATCTTTTGGTAAACTTACAACAGAAACCAGTTTAAGCACAGATTCCTACAGGAGAGACCTAAATAAATGTAAAACATTAAAACATATTATAATGAAAGATATAAACCTCACAAATTAGAACTGATAGAGCAGCTTTATCTAGACTCTTATATAACCCCAACTGACATAGTATCTGAGCACTTCTGACATGAAATTGGGGTAGGACATACAAATTATTGCATTTTACCAAGGAGGGTGGGGGGAGGCAAACCCAAAGTCGGATGTCAAAGGAAGTTCTGGGGAAAATCCATATTTTTAATATGGATTAAATCCCTCAAATGGCACAATTAATAGCAACACAGATGTTATTCATACTTGTTGCAAACTTATAACAATATGCATATAGTGATTTGCCAAAAAAGTAAAGTGGATTAATTTTTCCATTAAAAATGATTTGCACACTTATGCTTGAAACACATTTAAACAATTCTCTTCATTCCCCACTACATTACCCCCAATAATTAAAACGCTCACCTGTAAGTTATAAATAGCTTAACCTCACAGATGACTATGCTTTACAGTTCCAAGTTTCTATTTTTAATACAAATTGAAAGGTAGGCAATTGTGCTAAATAATCACTTTCAGGTCTACACACTGAATCTGTACAGTAATCTGCTACTGAAACATTTCCCAAATTCTCATCAGTGGTCTTGCCAACCCACATACACATCTCCAATCACTGACACACAAGGCTTTGAAGTTCTTCTATCTAACAGCTAAACACTAGGTTTTGTTCTCTGCTAGGGTAAGACTAATTTGAAAGATTGAAGCTCCTATGTTCACATGCAACACTCAATTAAGTCAATAGTCCCCATCCCAAATGTTCTGAAAGTAATGAGCCGGGATGCCTGTCAGGGTGCTGTCCCTCCATTCTGTTTGGTATAAGTCTTTGGTTAATATGTGTCTGATAACCCCTCTATCCCAAAATCCTCATGGTTGCCGGAAGGGAGAAGGTACGCTCGTTCTCTTTCTACTCAGACCTCCTCCCTTCCACCCCAAAGCCTCCTGGCTGCTGTGAGGGTTGGTTAGAAAGTTTCTGCTATCCTATAGCTCTCTCAGCTTTCCAGCTGCTGCAAGGAGCACATTTCCACTACTCTGCCCTCTTTTTTTTGTGTTGAAAACTGCCACTGTTCAGTTTTCTCAAGGAGCAACAGAGTGAAAGTGACAATTCTTTTCAGTTTCACTGCAGTCCACAAAATTCTGAATAGCAATAAGATTGTGATCAGCCTTCTCTGCTGCAGCTTTGGAAATTCTACAAATAGCAATATAAGCATTGGAACTCTCTATTGCAGTTTTAGTAAAATGCTACATTGATTTACACTCTAATCATGTTTAGAAGGTCCTTTATCACCATAAAGGCTAGTTTTTCTTTTGTTTTTTAATGAAAGCTTAGATTCTGCAGACGTTAAAAAAATTTCTCCATTTGACCCATAGGAAGGCAATGTAGATTTGGATATTTTAAGTTCTACGTACGTACACTCAGACCTATTGACTGCTCAACTAGATCGTAAATAAGAGTTTAATTTGAGATTTAAATTAAAATCATCTTCTGTATATGGTGTTAATAACAAAAGAGTAGGAGTGAAACTGAAATTATATAATCCTTTAATCTGAGTATTTCAAAGATCTAAAGTAGGTAAAACGGGGATTCTTACAGATGGGGAAATAAGGTGCAAATGGTTAAATAACTTGCCAAAGATATCAAAACAGGTCTTTGGCGGAGAGAGAGAGACCCCATGACTCAGTCAGTCCTTTGCTCTACTGACTATATAGCATCTATTGCTTTCTTTATTGTTTACATTAGCATCCCCATTTCACCGATTTTTAAAACAAAACTAAATGAGGCAAGGAAAATAACCCACAATTGTTTGTATTACTATGTTAACAAATCCATGTATTAATACACAATTACTGTAAATCTATTTAAACAAGCTTGATCTTGCAATTTTCTAGAAATCATATGCAGAAATCAAATTTTCTATATATTTTATTTTTTCATACACGTCACAGCTGCATTATATCCATGTCTCCCTCTCTCCCATTCTTCAGTGTCAAAAGCCATTATATAGAATGTATTTCAGTCTCTTATGACAAGAGATAATGATGCAGAAATTCTGATGTCCCAAAAGGATGGTGGAAAAATATATTATGAGAAAAGTGTCAAGCCAAAAAAAAAAAAAAAAAAAAGAAGAAGAAGTTGTACTTATTAATAGAAGGATACAAGCCAATCGTTTCTGGAAGTGTTGGTCGTACAACCAATGAAGAAATGACAGGCTGGCAACATTTTCCCCATCACTGCTTTTGTTCCTAGTCAACCAAGACAAGAACAAGACTCCAGTCTACACTACCAAAATTATGGTTGTCTAACAAATTTATAGTTAAATCATATTCCAAAAAGTGTTTTGTGTGTTTTTTTTATTTTTATTACCACCAGTATGGTCAGGAGAGAGATATAGGGGAACCATGTTACAAACCTAGATATCTACCACTGTTAAAATTTGGGTCTCATGTTCAGAACATGTTTTCTGTCCACATATGCAAAACAAGTGATAAACATGGATGTGTCCAAATCATCCTAACCTCCATGATTAAGCCTGTTAATTTTTAAAAAATGCATACACTTTTCAGCAGCCTAATGTTACAGAACTAGGCCACAGTCTGCACTACAAAAATTATTTAATTTTAGATTACAATATCAAACAATTCAGCAAGTCTTAGCAGACCCAAAATAATTTTTCGAAATAAAAAAGCCAATGATGTTCATGAAGTTCAAATCTTAAAATAGTCAATGTGTTTGTTTTCTAAAAGAGAGTGTGTTGGCTGCAAGTAGGCCAATGGGCAAGTCACTATTTTAGAACAATGACACTAAAGCAGCGGCTTATGTTTCCTCTTCTGACAGAGTAGGGGCTAGAAGCGTATGCTGGAACTGTGCGCACATTAATTCTATGTGCACATTCACTCCACTTTTGCATGTAAAGATACCATCATGGTTTGCATTTGGAAAGTAAAAGGATTTCTGTTTACATTTTCAAAGTATAATTAGTGTTTTTGTCTTGTTTTGAGAAAACTGGAAGGCTGTCTGGAATAAAGTGAATCAATTCTGTTCTTAAACAGCTCAAGGAATATTACTGTAACAAATTATTTTGGAATAGATAGTACATAGACAGAAATAAGGGCAGGGATGAGCACTTCCAAATCATGGTTACAATCCCCCCTCCAGACCACCAGAATTTTGAGACACCATAAGTAGCCAGCAAGACCAAACTCACAGCCCCCTCATTGACCAAACTACCAACTCTTTGGGCTGGTCACAGCGTCTTCCTGAACCACCGTGTAACTGCATTCTCTTTTCCCAACCCCACTAACCACCTGTTGCAATTATTGCTAATGCACAACTATATTTTAGATTGTGACAAAAGAGTATGCATGTAACATATTTAACTTCCATCTTCATTCCTCTGCATATGGAGTAGTTAAAAAAAAAGCTTTGCAGACCATTTTCCTATTTGGTTGGGTACATACATTTTTCCAGTACTAAGAGCTATGCTGTCTGAAGACATACAGTATTTGTCTAAATCAGTCATCTGTATCATCCACTTTCTGGTGAACAAGAAGTGACCATAAAGAAGGCCCAAGATCAAGAGCAAAGCATTCTAGCTTTTGCTGTCATACAGTAGAACCTCAGAGTTACAAACTGACTGGTCAACCACACACCTCATTTGGAACTGGAAGTACGTAATCAGGCAGCATTAAAGACAAAAAAAAGCATATACAATACAGTATTGTATTAAACGTAAACTACTAAGAAAGTAAAAAAAGAAAGTTTAAAAAAAGATTTGACAAGGTAAGGAAGCTTTCTGTGCTTGTTTCATTTACATTAAGATGGTTAAAAGCAGCATTTTTCTTCTGCATAGTAAAGTTTCAAAGCTGTATCAAGTCACTGTTCAGTAGTAAACTTTTGAAAGAAAAATCATAGCGTTTTGTTCAGTTACGTACATTTCACAGTTATGAACAACCTCCATGCCCGAGGTGTTCATAACTCTGAGGTTCTACTGTATAAGACTAACCCTGTTCTGGATAGATAAGGTAGTCTCATTTTCTCATGGTATTGCAATGAGCGCAGAATTAAGGTAGTTTGGCTACCTTAACTGAACTTCCATTCAATAAAAGGTTTCATTATAAGCAGAGCTGGATGAACTTTTTCAACTGAAACTTTTTTTTGGTGAAAATTGCAGATTTGGCAACACCAAAACATGTTAATTCCTGTTAATTTTGCTGAACTGTTTTTGTTGGGGGAGGGTTTTTTTTTTGTGGGGGGGGGGGGGAGGGGAAGAGAACCTAACCTCCCACCTGCCTAAACATTTCATTTTTCTATTCTGAACAACCTTTCATTTAGAAATGTACTTCAGCCTTCTTATAAAAAGTAAACATTAAAAAATGCTCAACATCTAAATGAAACATTTCATCTGACCAGAAATTTTTTTTTTTTGCACTTTTCAGAATTGTCAGCAAATAGAAAAATCGGTTATTTGCCCGGCTTTAGTCATAAACTGCTGTATACAATTAGCCAAGGCTACTGGGCACACTTTTGTCATGAACATTCATCTGAGGTCTTTACAAAGTTTAATGTTATTTTTTCCTCAACCACTTCTTTCCTGAAAGTAAGAATTCCTGCAGCAACCCACTCAAACTGTCATCATCCAGGAGAAGTGATCATCTGATCAGAAGAAGCCATAACAATTTTCTGAAACTTGCAGGAATCTCTGCCAAAAGATAAAATGCAGATAATATATCGGCTATCCGATTGCCATAGAACATTTAAACAAGCAATGGGGAACAAGATCAATAGTGGAGCTAGACAAATGTTGTCCAATTAAACATTGTTTCATCAGAAAATACCGATTTTGATGAAGAAAAATGTTTTGGTGAACCTATTACAGATTTGACCTAACTTTTGTCAATGAACATGCCAGGGGGCCTGTGTTCCAGGATCCACAGCACCACGGTACAGAACCTGCT